CCATCAAAACCTGTTGTTAGCTTCAATTACTATTCGTCGTTAGTTTTTCTGTATGTACTTTCACAAAGAAAATTATTCTTTTCTTTATCTAGCATTGATGAAAATGTTCAATATAAAATTCATTCATATTTTATAGTTAAAAGAATCTAGAACAACTTTTTTAAATACACTTCTGTTACATTTCATATTTTAGAATTTTAAAATTCCTATTTTATAGAAATTGGTTAAATTCAGTTTCTTATTATTATTCTTTTTTAAACAATTATTTTAAGGCGATTTTAGTGAAAAATAACCTAATAATATCAGAAAATAAAATTGTTTCTTAAAAATTTTAAATCAACCGAGTAAGCCCTATGATAACAAATTATGTATCGAAGAGAAATTGATCAAAAATAAGTCAAAAATACAAAGTAAAAATAATTAAATGATATTTATTTTTACTTTTATTCATTTTTGACTGAACACTCACAACCAACGTCTCTTCAATTTTCACTACAGTCAACCATCAAACCACTATTACAAATTATGTATCATTTTAAATTTTTCACAAATCGAACATTATACTAATAAGCGATTTAGTGCTGGAAGTCAATAAAATAGTTATAATGAGGTACGTAAAAAAAAAAGATTAAAATTTACAAAAGGTTTTAGCTAATAGGGAAACCTATACTCCCCCCCGAAAAAAATATTATAATATAAATAAATATATATATACACACATATAGATCAATATACCGTAACAAAGATCCAAATGCCGGTTGATTCGTTTTGATTTATTATCATTATACTATGTATAGCACTTTATATATATATCAATCATTATCAATATCGATCAATCATATATATATATCAATCTTTCACTTTATTGAGATATTTTTAGAAGTACGAAAATAAGTAATCTTTTTATCATTTTTAAGTTTATTGTATTTAGTTATCATCCACTGAAGGAACGAATGTTATCAGCCGTTGTTATCTAAATAGCGATAGTTCATTAAAAATATATAGCCTAAAAATTAGGATACAACACCCCTTCTCTTTGTCAAAATGAAGATTAAAAATAATTACTTTCCAATTCATATTATCCGAGTGGTTGTTAAATAATTTACTATCAAGATTATTTATGCTTTATAAAGTAAAGCTTAAGCCATTTTATATTTTCTTCTCATTCAGTAAGGAAATTCCTTCAAGTCGAGAATAGCTTGTCGAGTTATCTATCTTTCCTGTAATATATTAGTAGAAGAATAATAGGAAATATGTTCTCTTGGTAGTAACTGGATAAATGCATTTCCTTATAATGTTGTTATTCAAGTGTATTTACTCAAAAATATTACGATAATTGACAAAGTAGTGTTTTTTTTTTTTTTGTTTTTTTAATGAAATAAATGGTTTAATAAAACAAAGGACCCGAATATTTAGGTCATAATTGTAAAATCATTATACCTCTATCTTAAAAAATAAATAAATCATGTATAAAATAATGAAATTTTATAGAATGCACTAAATAAATCAAGATATGGTTCAAATTAACTGCCAATACCCTCTCATTATTGGGGCAAATGCTACCCTTGAGTACCGAGTACAAATTATTTTACTCAAATTGAATCATTATTGGGAATTCAATCACTACTTCAATTAATCGTATGAAATCAAATGAAGTAGTATTTAAATTCTTTAGTACTCAAAAAAGGTCGGTATTTGAGTAAAATGATTGTTATTCAGTACTCAAAGTAGCAATTGCCCATCTCTGCTACAGGGGCGTATCCAGATATTGTCTTTAAGGAGTGTGAAAAAATAATAAGAAGAAGTTCTTTGTTTGATTTAAATTCCGAATATTTTGCAGCTTGCATCAGTGAAATTGAGAACCCAAATCACGGTGAATATTAGCAGTTTTAGTTAAAACAGAGTTTTTGAGTTTTAACTAAAACTCCTTGCTGAACACACCTCCCTGAAGAAGAGCTGCAAAGTCGGGTCGAAACGTTGGCTTGAAATAAAATAATTTTGCCACTATTATAGTCTATTTATGACCGCCACCCCCGACCATCTCCTTCCTCTAAAATACACAACGGTCAAATATTAAGTATTCAATATAAATTTACTTTTGTTATCTGCCACTAGAGGATCCAGGATTTAATTTTGGGGATGGGGCTTCAGCCCGAAAGCTTTTTTTTTTTCATAAAAATAACGATAATTACTTTGGAAAAGAAGAAAGAAACTAACTACCTATATGAAATGGTGTTTAAGTGATTCCTAAAGTCCTTTTAAATATAATTACACGAACATTAGTACTTTAAGATATAATTATTTAATATCTTTTTCAATAAAACATGGTTATATTTTACCATTTTGGGGAGGCTAAAGCCCCAAAGCCCCGCCCTCGTAGATCCGCCTGTTATCTGCTGATTTTGTTGACTTTTATTTGTGAAGTTCTTATATATTATGTTACTTTTATGATTATTCCTTCTTTATAACTTCTACATATTATTATTATTTTATATATTTGTTTGTCCATTTATGCTTTATTCTATTTTTTTTTTTGCTTTATCTATTCATTTATATTTTAAAAATTAAGTTCGTGATTATCTATGTATATATATATATAAAGGAAAACAAGTTTTACTATATCAATCGGTTTATCTTTTTGTGTAAAATGAGAAAAACATATTAATGAATAATCTTACGAGTAGTCATTACTCTACCTCCATAGCAACTGAGTATTCTCAATTCACCATAAAAATTCTGTTTAAAAATCAATGATTAAATGGTTGAAAACTTTCGCCTAACCAAGTAGGTCAGGAAGTCGCAGAAATGAAATGGTTTACGTAGATTTTTATTAATAACATGTAGATGTTTGTGGGTTTGATATTAATCGAAATTATGTTTCATGGTATGGAAAGAAATGATTAAGGATAGCAATAATGGGATCATCATCTTAAGTTAGTCTGAAAGATATGTGTATTGACCAAACCACACAACAGAAATAATTTAACTTGGCAAGATTGGATTAGTAAAGAACCGGTATCATCCAGATTGATCTTTTTAACTCACTAAATCTCTGCCGGAACTAAGGTCACACCACTGGATTTGACAAAGACACGACCCATTGCATATTTAAGAAGGTCGAGCATCGAAAAACATAGTATATTATTATTTTTACTATTATAAGGAAGTCAACATTAAAGGATTGGCAATGTTGATTTTTAAATGAAGCTATATATCGATAAAATTATCTCGCCCATAATTAATCCAAAAAAGTTATTTCTTTAGACTTTGTAAAATGAAAATTTGTCATACTAATCGTCTTTATTATACTAATACAATAAACATATTTGGAAAAAATTAAACAACACAAAATATTAACAACACATATTTGATGTCCAAGACCTCTGACATTCACTTCAAACTATAAATATGATCCAAATTTAAATAATGAAACAAATATTTGCTTAATTTAGCTATATTATGTATATCTCAACCACCAACTTCCGTTCGTCGAAGTGATAAACAAAAAAAAAAAAACCAACCGAATCTTTTTCATCGAAGGTCGGACAGATAAAAAATGTTTCGTTATTTTGAAAAAATCCTGAAAAATTCTAATTGCAAAGAAATGTTCTGAGGGAAGAAAAGCGTACTAGCGAAACAGGTGAATCTCATACACCAAATATATATATATATATATATATATATATATATACTACGTTTTGCATAATTTTTCTTTAAATTAAATTAAAAATAGTTTCCAGAGGGCCAGAGCACTCTAGCTACTCTTTCAGCTGCAATAATCAAGTATTTCGCCAATAAATGAAGAATATTTAATGTAAATATTCAATTGTTTAATACAAACTTTAATTAAATAATTAATGAGGTTTACTAAAATTAAACTTTTCAATTAAAATAATAATAATAAAAGTACCGGGTGTTTAGTCACTTTTCTCAGGATAGAATTTTGTCTCACCTTCCAAAGGGGGGAGGGGGCGTTCCTTAACAATATCCCCCCTAAGAAATTCATAATCCATTGTAAATGTGCTCTCCTCAAAAAGTTTGAAGGCGCAAGAACTTTATTGCGACAGGCAAGTTCTTTCTGGACACCCGTAAATAGCTATAATGTAATATATTGAATGGCTCGACTATAGAAAAATACGGAAATTAAATTTTTCTGCATATATTTGAAGAGAATTTAATGTAAAACGAACTTCCATCCACATTTCTTTATATAATAAAAATATTGAGTTACCTAGTCAAATAAAGATAAAAGCACAAGGCAAAAGTTTTTTTTTTTAAATTATCGAACGGATATCTCGGAAAATGCAAGAAAACGAAAAAGACCGAAACTACGAAGGGAGAATGGAGTGGCCCGATTCCAGGATATTTGGGTGCGAACTTGAAAGTGGCAGAGGTCGATTTTTATGGCTTTAACTAGTGGGTTGCATAGTCTAGAATATAAAGATAGATCACCACAATTACAACATCTTGAATGTTCACACATACTTCAAAATGTGGAGAGCAAGTGTTCATTCAAGTGAAAATTTTGATTCTGATCGAACTTCAGGAAGTCGAGGTATAACTCTTTTAAAATGCTATCTTTTATAGGTCAGATTCTTGCTCGCCCCAGTTTGTCCAGGCTCAACTACTCAACCAAATAAACTAAAAGCTTGAATTCCTATGTATTCTGAACTGTTTTATTGGCTTAAGTATGATTTGTAAATATATGAACTCTTAAAAAGCGTTAGAAATAACAAACATATTCCAAACTGTAAACAAGTTTTTAAAGAAATAATTGTAGTGGAATAAAGCGTGTATATTTGGCTTAAGAGTGCTTAATCATATTTTGTATTATTAGTGAGAATTCAATATACTTGGGAATTTTAAAATAAAAAAAAGAGATTTTGATTTGTGGGAGCATTTCGGAATTAACAGTAGTTATTACTGTTAATTTTACTGAATAATACTGTACAGTACTGAAATAATTTTCAATAGGATCAAGGAAGAAGAAAATAATTGCACTGTTACGAAAATCAAGTATTTTTATTTATTTATTAAAATGGAGGATTATGTATCAAAAAAATGATACTTAATATTTACATTTATAAAGATAAACAGGATTTCTCCTCAGTCTTTTATATTTATAAAATATAAAAATATTAAAAAGAAAAAAAAAAAAAGAAATGTCTATTGGGAAAAGGTAACTATGATAACCAGTAAATACTTCTAACCAACATTAAAAAGATTACAATAAAAACAATATCACAAGCTCAAATTTTGAACTAAATCTTCAATTATAAGGTCTTTCACTTACACTAGACACTTCAGATCAGAAGAAAATATTGTACACACCACAGAAATAACACCTTTTACAAGTTAAAAAAAAAAATTTAATTAGGGTCAATATTAAATAAATGTACTCCCTATATACACTAAAATAAATAAACTAAGTTTAATTCATAACAAATATAAACTACAACAAACAAATAAGAATGTCCAGTGTAAATAGATTGAGGTAAAATATATTTAAAGTACATTCTAATGCAAATTATAAAGTAACATTTGTCAATAAATAAAAAAGTACATAAAAAGGAATAATAAATAAAATTTACATTCATTAAAATAAAACATGGGATATTTACATAACTATAAATAAATAAATTATTTAAAAATTTATCATGATGACGTAGACTGTTCTGATCTGACTGATTGTAACCTCGTAAGAAAAGACCTAACCAACTTTAGCTTCTTGGAAGGTCTGATAGGTCCTACAAACCCAAGAAATTCATCTTCTTCTTCTTCTTGAACCCTCCTACGAGAAGCAGATCTACTACTAGTATTGCGAGGGGATAAATAAAAAGTTGCTCCTCTATAACTTAATTTTTTATCCCTGAGTCTTCTCGGAATAGGTTTAGGTTCCTCGGTAGGTATCACAGGCCCAAGCTGAGCAGCTTCTCTTGAGAAATTCTTAGACCCTTTCTGCCTACCCTTTCGTCGCTTATTATGGTTATCATTGGGTTCTTGTTCCTGCGATGGTTTTTCCAGGTTCTGGAAGTTTTCCAATGGAAGTCGAATTGCAGTATCCTCTGGTATTGGTGAAGTGAACCCATAAGCTGCAGCTGTACATGAAGAAACCTCTGAAGGGGTCAAAGATTCTTTATCACTTGAAGCTACTGCAGAATCTTTACCACTGGAATTTAATAAAGATTCTTCATCACTAAGAGGTTCTAAAGATTCTTTAACATTTTTAGGTACTAATGATTTTTCAATACTAACAACTTTTTTAGCATAATAGTTTTTAGTATTAGTTCTGTCTTTTTTAAGTATCCTAGTGGTCATTATATGATGTCTCTTTCCAATTAAAGGTGTTCGTGTTTCACTGATTGTTGTCTTATTGCAAATGATTGCATTCAACTGATTGAAAACATTATTTATAGAAGAAAAATAATTCAACTCAGTACTTTCTAGCTGTTTAGTATCATCATCTTCAATGCCTTTTAGGCACTTAGCATTACAACTTTTTTTACCCCCTTCTTCTATGAGACCTCTGAGAGCAACTTCAAAGTTTCTTTGTGAAGCACATTTCTGGGTATTGCAGGGGCAGATTTCATTATTAGACCTGTTACCTAAGAGATTGATAAGGTGTCCTATTGTGAGGTTATATAAACAAGGGTGGGGCAAATTAGGCAAATACTGATTCTTCTCAGAACCATCAATATTTGCGCACTGTGCAAGATAAAGCTGATCAGATTTTTTTTCATCGTAACAAGCTTTGACTTCCTGGGAAGAATTTTTCATTTCATCACTACAATGTGATGCTTTAGATTCATCACTAAAACCAGCCAAAGGATCACAAAGAGGATCACAATCTGTATCACGGCTTTCTTCCACATATTCTGAAGCTCCACTCTCTGGAACAATAGCTAATATTGTTCTGACACTATTATTGCTACTTTCTCCATTCTCACACTTGAGGAGGGGGATGCTTTCAATTATTACATCTTCTTTTGAAAAATGTTCTCGATCTTCTTCATCATTCAAATCATCAACCGTGTCATCTAGTTCTTCGTAGTACGTTTCAATTTTGTCAACGTGTTCATCATAAGTGATATAAGTGGATTCTTCTAATTGTTCATTTGAATCTTGTTTGACAAATGAAGGGAATGAACTCCTCTGCCAAACTTCATATCCATCATCGTAGTCATAACTACTTTCTTCTCGAAGAGCAGTATATTCTTCTTTTAATTGATCCCAGCATATTTCTTCGACTGTATGGGTAGTAGAATCTCTTTCACTATCTGAGTTTGAAGTAACTTCTTTTTTTAATTCTGGTTCTTTTTTTATCCATTTTGTTTTCTTCAATTTCTTTAGAGCTAGTAATCGTCTTATTTTTCCACAACCTCTTTTAAAGTTAAACAACACTTTTGGCTGCTTTTTAATTCGTGTCAGCAAAAAATGTAATTTTTCATGAAGGACTAGCTTTTTCTTCATAATATATAAACCTACAACAGTTAAAATATTATATGTTAATAAATTAATGAAATTTAACAATTAATAATGAAAAAAGTTTACCTTCACAAACAAAATTAAAATAAAGGTTCAAAAATGTGTATTATTAAAAAATTATACCTCTTAATGCTAATAACAGCTAATTATTAGATATTGTGAAAAAAAAAAATGTTAAGAAGGAAAACAACCCTTAGGGCTAAGCAATATATGTAATAAAAACATGACGGGGTAAATTTTGGAGCTACATATTACAATAGGTCTACCCCTAGACCCAATCTCTGATTAGTCTTAAAATGAGATGATAATGATATAACTTAGTTTACCCACACTGTTGAACAAAAAATAATTTAAGGTTATTTTTCATACTTTTTTTTATCAAGCCTTCAATTTTCACCTTCCTTTTTAATCTTAAGTACAGTTTATTTCTCTTTCACATTTGATGATTTTCTTTTAGGGGCCATTCAAAGCAAGAAAATATGTATTTTAAATTAAATTTAAAGATAATACATTTACACCAGGGGCTTATTGTTGCGACTGAGCAGCACGCTACACTTAATACGACCTATGTAGAGGCCTTATAGCCTGGTTATGGTGTTTTTCAACACGATGTGGTTGAATGTGTTTATAATTGACATGTAGTATGCAACAATTAAATTAAATTTGTTTATGGCTGTTAAAGAGAGTATACAGTTACAAAAAATAAATAAAATAATAATAATGAAAAAAGGATCACAAACATTACCTACCATCATATCGAAATACAGTTTTTCTGTCACGATCTGATTTAATAAGTCGTACAACACGGATTGGAAGTCGACCCTTTACAGCCTTTTTCAAATTTCCTAATATTGTGTTGCATGTAGTATTCTTATCAGAATCTCCACTGCCAAATGGGGATTTGGCTGTAAAAATAAATAAAATAAAAATTAAATAAATTACTTAATAATACCAACAAATTATGTGCATACACTTACATACATTTCAATTAAGCGTGGTGACAGCTCTGTTATTAACTCGAGTAAATTCAAACTAATTTTAAGATCAGATTTAGTATATGTAAGTCTATACAAAATATAAAATAATTATAATTATTGTAAGAAAAGTCAGCAATGAAATACGATGACATCAATCATGAATTCCATGATTTAAAAAAAATTAATGAGAGCTTGTTACAAGTTATTACAAAAAATGAGACACTTGAAATAAGGCGGAGAATAGCAGCTGCCAACCGATGCTATTTTGGCCTACTTAAGCACATAAGAAAGTCACTACTTAGTAGATGAACGAAGCTGTAGCTCTATAAAACGCTCATCTGGCCAGTTCTTAGCTATTGTAGCCAAACATGGACGTTAGCCAAAAATGACGAAAAAGACCTTATGGTCTTTGAAAGGAAAATCCTTAGAAGAATATTTGACCCTGTAAAGGAGGAACTTGATTGGAGAATTCGGAAGAATAGAGAGGTCTATGAATTGTTTAATGAACCTAATATGGCAAGAATAATAAAATAAGGAAGGTTCAGTTGGGCAGGACACGTAGCTCGGATGGAGAGGTCTGAAATCCCGATAAGAGTGGTTGAAGAACCATTACACTATACAAGGAGATCTGGCAGACCGAAATTGAGATGGGCAGGTGACGCGAGAGACTTGATGAGAGTCAGGAATTGGAAAATGGCCGCACAGAATAGAGAAATTTGGCGGAAGGTCATTGAGAAGGTCAGGGACCACTAAGGGTTGTAGAGCCATTAAGATAGATAGATAGATAGTAGTGACAGCTCTGTTAGTAACTCGAGTAAATTCAAACCAATTTTAAGACCAGATTTAGCATATGTAAGTCTAAGCAAAATATAAAATAATTATAATTATTGTCAGAAAAGTCAATAATAAAATACGATGACATCAATCATGAATGTCATGATTTTAAAAAAATTAATGAGAACTTGTTATAGGTTGATATAAAGGGGGTATTTATATGAAATGAAATACTTACTGAAAATTATTACTAGAGATCCTTCATCTAAGAACCTTTTATTCCCTTGAAGTACTATGGAATATGGTCCTTCGGGTCCAAGATGAATCCAACTTTTGTCAGGATGATGAATCACTTTCAGCTTTTCTCTGTTTCTGTAGACTTTCCCCACTTCTTCTCCTAAGAAAAATAAATTAAATAAACATTATCTGTTTTAATAAACAGAGATATTAATATATCTTTTTGTTGGTAATAAATCATGTTTAACAAGATAACAGTTACAACAAAATAAGCATAATATATATATATATATATATATATATATATATATATATATATATTTTTTTTTTAAATCAATGAATAGCCATAACAATCAATGTATACATATACCACACTTTGAACGTACTAATTTAGAGAAAATGCTTATTGCCCTTGAGTGTGACAGATTATGTTAATATTAAATAAATAAATACAATAATAATTTAGAGAATTGATTTTAGAAATTATGCTTAATAGACATTATTAATAGTTAAAAAAAAATCAAGATTTTTTAAAAAGAGTGAAACTCGGCACTTATGTTCTAAACACAGATATTCAATTTTTTCCCCTTCTACTTTTAGTTTTAAAATTATACATGTTTAAAACAGACAAAAATAAAAGTGTTTTTAAATCTTCATAAGCAAGTAACTTATTAAAATTAATGGTTCTATACAGGGTGTTTTAGGATTAAGTGGCCAAACTGTGAAAATAAACTCAGGACCTCAAAACAAGAAAAAAATTACCTCTGAAAGTATGTCCGCAAAAGCTTTGTTTAGAAAATATTCACACCTATAGATTTTTGTTGTTATGAATTATTTACGTTATATGAAATAAATAACCTATTTACTTGTTCTAACTACTTTATTAATTAAATGTAAACGTCAACATTCACATTAAATGTTGAGAAAGTATGTCCGCAAATGCTTTGTTTAGGAGATGGATTAGATAGAATACTAAAATGGTCTTTTAAAAAACTATTGGCAACATAAGGATTAATACTATTGGGAAATCTCTATAACAATTATCAACTAGTAAGTTGCTTTCGCAGAGTACTCATCTTTATGCCTTCTATTTATACTAATGATGAATATGCCAATATGGTGTTTGTATACGGATTTTTTTGTTTGGGGTGACATTAAACAAAAAGTCTGTGCAAGTCAGGACCTTAATTCCTTAAGAAGAAAGATAATTGAATCTTGTGAAACAATAACACATATCCAGCAATGTCATCGTGTGGTAGACATAGTCTCTTCTGTATTGGAGTGCAAAAATCCTGTACGGGAGTCTTTCTCGACGTTGAACAGGTGTTTGATAGAGTCTGGCACCCGGGACTGCTGTACAAACTCGGTAAATTCCTACCACCTACATACTTCCTCATTATCAGCTCATACCTTACTGATCGATACTTCAAAGTAAATTATAATAATGCATGTTCATCCTTCTTTTTCCAGTCTGCTGGTGTTCCTCAAGGGAGCACCCTCGGTTCTATCCTATATACAGTTTATACAGCTGATATTCCAACACCTATGCAGATGACACTTGTATCCTATCTGTTAATAATGACCCTTTAATTGCATCCCAAACCCTCCAATCACATATCACAAACCTTGAACAATGGTGTCTTAACTGGAGTATAAGAATCAATTCCAATAAATCCCATCAAATTATCTTTACCCTTCATCGTAAACCCACAACTTCTGGCCCTACCACAGATTCCACTTGTTCCTGTTGAACAAATCCGCTACGCTACCTAGGACTCCACTTGGATAAACGTCTCACTTGGAATCCACATACTGACTAGAAACTGCTCCACGTTTCCGACTGCTTTAACACTTACTAGACAAACTCTCTAAACTTTCAATTAATTACAATAGACTCATCTACTTAACCATAATAAGACCTATATGGACATACAGAGTTGAGCTTTGGGGTTCTACCAAACCATAGAATTCATATCGTATCCAATCCTTACAATCCAAAGTCCTTTGTAAAATCATTAATGCTCCCTAGTTTGTCACAAATAAAACCATTCATAAAAGACCCTAATGTTCCATATGTCGCTGATTTAGCCAGAGCCAGATACCTATCCTTTCATGATAAACTCCAGGCCCATCCAAATCCACTTGTTTCCAGCCTTGCTTCTTCCTCGATTCCTAATAATCCGCCTAGGCATCTGAAAAGAAGATGGCCACGTGATCTTTTCACCTACAATTAAATAGGGAGTGCTACCACTGTGCAGCATCTCTTCAAATCTGTTCATGTCATTATTTTCAATGTGTGGATTTTTACTAGTTGTATTGTTTATACAGTTATAAATTTCATTAAATAAATAAAAAATTTACTTAATATAATGTAAATCTTTAGGTGTGAATATCTCCTAAACAAAGCACTGCTTGGAGGATCCAAGACACATTGCCTTCAAATGCAAAAGATTCGAGAAGCGAAGAAGAATTAGTTTAGGGCTAACTTTCTTCAGTCAGTGAATAAAATAATGCCCGTGATTTTATCTAAGTTTTTGAATGACATAAAAGCAGTTATATAATAAGAGTCGCCTCTTATTCTCATTTAATTGTTATGAAACTACTGCTACTTTAGTTTTTAACTATTAGCCTTTCTAGTTCTACCCTCGGGCAGTGGAAGGAATTTGTTACTGGTATATATTGTATTGTTATGTATACTATATATGTAAATTGATTAAATAAACATTCTAGTGGGTTAGGGAAAAAAAAAAAAAAAACCTTTCTAGTTCAAGTTATATTCAATGATCATATACTTAGAAATATTCAATAAATAAATATCCAGTGTTATCTCATTTTACAATGACAATTAAAATATTTTATTGGCAAAATAGGACTTGCTTTGACAAGTTTTAAGGGCAAAAAGATAACAAATAAAAGTCAATTATATTTTTAAAAATATAACATGGAGTGAGAGATGTCTTTTGAATTAAGTTCCGTGTGTACATAGTAAAATAATAATGCAATGCAATTTTAGTAATATAGTAGCAATTATATAGTATGTATAAAATAAAGTTCAGGCATTTAAGTTATTACAATATTTTTTATAACAAAACCAATATGAATAGATAAAATTTTTGTAAAAATATATGAAAATAATAATATAAAAATATTTAAAAAGTCAAGTAAACGTGACCATATTTATGAAGTTTGGATGATAGTGAAGAATAATTGTACTTGTTTGTGGCTCTAGACACTTTACTGCTGCACTAACACAGCTAAAGTAGTAAAGAGGATACTCATCATGTGCACTATTGCCTATTACATTCAAATTTTTGGCAATGTAGAGGCATAACAGCACCCGACAATTATGATTCGTATACTAAGGGCTAAAGTCCATTTATCTGTTATTGTATTTGCTGCAGATGAAGGATTCTGAGCTTCATAATTAAAAAAAGGAAAGATCGTTTCCAAACAATTGTTGGAACACACGGAGATAGCAGTCTCGAAACGTATGCTTTAAACAGGATCCTGTTTGTCTACAATCTATCAAAAAATAAACCTAAGGGGACTGAGACAAAATATTGCCAGCTGGATAGAGATATGATTGCCCTTTGTCTTGATGTAGATATTAAGAAATTAATCAGCAGACTGGTTGGTTCTGTCTTATTGATTCAAATTCAGTAATCTGTATAAACGAGACATCAAGCCCAATGAGCTTATAATGCAGAAAGCTTCTCCTATCCAGAACTTACAAAGATAAAACTGCTTGCATTACCTTTACTAAAATTTAGGTTACAGCGTTATCCTTGATAGCAATAGGAGATATTTTACCTTAAGCATGAAAGCTTAAATGAAATAGAAAATTATGGGGGCATAGTACTGGTTCATCTCAAAGTTACTCCACAACTTCTCCACCCAAAATTTGATAACACAATATATTTTATGGTTTGATATATTTTTCCATCTAAATTATAGCTTTGCTTGCTAGTTTTAAAGTGTCAAAGGTCACAGATTAAAGATTAAAAAAAATATAGTAAAGTTACTCTATAAAGTAGGTAGAATAATAACAGTAACAGATAGCTAAGAAATAAATAACGGCAACAAAGTACGGACTAATGTTATAAATATTATCAAAAAAGATAACATAAGAAATGAAAAATGGTAATCTTAGAATAAAATGTAAAACAGAGAAAAGGAATATGAAGCTACATGAGGAAATAATAGATATAAAATCTATCAAAATATACTGACTACATATAAGAGAATAAAATGTTAAAATAATGTATAAAAGATAAATGAGAAAATGTATCAATATATACAAAGTAGAGATGGAGATATGGAAAATAGAGCGATGGGAAAGAGGAGAAAGGAGAAAATAAAGATAAGAAAGATAAACAGACATGGTCGATCAAAGAAGGATGGAAAGGCAAACATATTATATCAGGAAAGAGTAGAGCTAATTAGTGCCATCTGTAACGGTTAACTGAAATACGTGAACTAAAGCAAAGAAACATATAATGGACGAGAGATTTATTGTAGATAAATTCTATGAGTTATTACAGAAATGTGTAACTGATTTCTTAGCTATCTGTTAGTGTTATTAATCTACCTACTTTATTTTACTTAGTTTATTTTACCTACATTTGTTAGTCTATACCTTTCACCTTTTTTATTTTAATTCTTTATTATTCTATGTTCATAGTTTCTCATACCTATTGTTATCTGTTATTTGTTTTTTTTAGCCCTGATGAAGGCCTGAACTTCAGGCCGAAACGTTGCTAATTATAGAAATAAATATATATATATATATTTTTTTTATTTTGACTCATTACCCCAATCATCCTTCTCTTCAATTATTCACTATAGGCAACCATCAATCCACAATTTATGTTATCTTGTTTTTCCTTAGCGCTGATAAAGAATTTAAACTTAGGCTGAAATATCAGCAAAAAGGAAATAGAAATAAATATAATTTATTTACTTTGTACTTCCATTGACTGAAAACCGCAACCGACTTCTATTCAATGTATCTTTTACAGTCAATTTCAACAATTCACTACCATTTTATTGTAAATTTTAAACTTAAATAAATTTATAAAAAAATTGCCACCATATTATAATTTTTTTTATCTGTTTTACAAATCTATATATGTGAAAGTTGTTAATTCAACTTAATAATGCATTTAAGCCACTTCTGAATTGTCAATTGGTTGGAGATCAAATCATAATATATATTGTGTTATCAAATTTTGGGCGGAGAAGTTGCGGAGTAACTTTGAGATAAACCGGTACTTTGCTCCCATAATTTCCAATTTCATTTAAGGTGTTCCATGCTTAAGGTAAGATATCTCCTACTGCTATCAAGGATAATGCAGTAGCCAAAATTTTAGTAAAGGTAATGCAAACAGTTTTATCTTTGTAAGTTCTGGATGGGAAAAGCTTTCTGCATTATACGCTCGGAACATTAGGCTTGAAGCCTCGTTTATACAGATTACTGAATTTGAATCAATAAGACAAATTGAATCAATAAATGAATTATTTATTGTTACTTAGAACCTTCATTGACTGAAAATCCCAACAAAGTTTTCATTAGTTTAACAATAAAATGATCTAATTAACATTTAAGATAATATATTTACATTATTTTATCATTTATTACAATAAGAAGTTTATAACTTCAATCATGTATGTTACCTTTAATAGTGCCATAGTAGTGTACTAATCGTTCTCTCCGCCTGCTGCACGCGGGTTTTTCTTCAGAATTATCTACATCCATTTTGTTCTGTAATGCATATATTTTCAATCAGTAATTTATAAAGTAAACAATGAAACAATAAAGTAAAGAATAAACATAATCTTTGCCATATATCATATAACGTTTCTGGAAACGTGTATACACCTGCGTACATCAATCTTTTCCAAATATAAAAAAAGTTTAAACTTTTGCAACAAAACAAAATTTAGATTTATTCATGGCTTTTGAAGGAAAAATGTCATGTAGTTACATGGATACACGGGCGGATCTACGGGGGGATGGGTTTTCGGGCTGAAGCCCCCCCCCCAAAAAATGCTAAAATATAACCATGTTTTATAAAAAAAAATATTAAAACAGTATTATTGTTCGTGTAATTACATTTAAAATGGCTTTAGGGATCACTTAAACACCATTTCATACAGGTAGTTAGCTTCTTTCTTTTTTTCTAAAGAAATTATCGTTATTTTTATGAAAAAAAAAACTTTAGGGCTGAAGCCCCCGCTCCCAAAATTAAATCCGGGATCCGCTAGTGCATGAATAGATACCTCAGTAGTACTTGTGCAGGAAGTACATTCGTCTGTTATAAAATGAATAATCATAAAAATAATAACTAAAAAAAAAAAAGTGGTGTTAAACCCACATAAATTTTAGTCGTTCGAAGGCACAGATTTGGGGCACTACACTCTTGCCCCAGAATCGATTGTATTAGTGGGTCAGATAAGTTTTAGAGGTTGGCAAAAACGCAGTCATGATCATAGACAAGTCTTACAAATGACAACATCTGTGTTATTTGTTTATTGAATATGATTGCCAGTTCGTTGCTAAACAAATGTCAACAGAAGAGATTTGCTTATTTACTCTAAAAAAATATGAGATGTGCCCATCATATATATCGTCCTTCTTAATAACAATGACAGGTATCATATTGTGATCTTAACAAAGAATAAATGGAGTGCTTAACTCTTACACATCCACCTTGTTGTCCAGACTTATCGAAATTAATTTGTTATTCGTGCCCCTAAAAGAATCACTTAGATGAAAGATTTGAAAGTAATGAAGGACTCCAAATTTTTAAGAACAAATTAACGAATTGGTGGGTGAAGAATTTTCCAAAAGTAATAAACTGCCATACTGGAATCACATTATGTGGCTTATCATATTTTTGCCCTGAGCCATTGAATTAATTTTTTCCAAAAATGTCATTTATAAGCATTATTAATTATGCCATTGTCATATGATCCTTCAATAATTAATGAAATATTTTCTATGATCACTAAGTAGTTATGAAACAATAAGAAAAACTTCAAATTTAGGAGACAAAAAAAAATATCAATATTTATTGAAACAAAATAACTAATTAAATAAACATATACAACAAACATAAAGAACCTGATATTGATATGTTAAAGGTACCTCCACAGACAACAAAGAAACCATAATAAATATAATTATTTTTAAAAGGAGATAAATTTGTTTAACACGTTATTCAGTTTTTCATCAAAGCATAATTATTTAATACGTAAAACCTTAATTATTTAAATGAAAATGAGTGATATTTATGTTTATCTTTACAAAACATGTTAACTAACCTGGGATGTTATTAATAAGATGATAACTAAAACACTGAAGATAACGATGATTTTCTTAATAAGATATTAAATGTAATATCTTCGTAAGATAGCACAAATTCGTAACAACTGTCAGTAAGAATAAACTATTCAAAACACAGAGCGCACACAGTCAACTAACACACACAAAGAAGACACAAGGTAGAAGCCTCCCCTACTTGAAGGCACAGACCTATATGTGAGGGTAGTCCGCAAGTTCTCCCACCACCAAGCTCAAGTCACAGACTTTATACCTGCCGCATTTCGGGTATCTGTCGAAAGTAATGTGAACAGACGTCCCGATTTTAGGAAAAAATTAAAGTTAAGCCAGAGAACAGAGATGAGCATATATATATTCAAAAATATAAATACGAATACCATTTATATAACGTACGAATACCGTAAATATAAATACGGTCGTATTCACGATTGCAAAAGAGTATACGGCTGTATTTACACCAGTAAAAGTGAATACGGTTGTATTCACGTTTACTAAAATGAATACGCTTAAATTTATAGAAGCGAATGGAAATATTTTCACACAACCTTATTAGTGAATGCTCTTATTTATTAAAAAGATATGTTTACTATATATATCATTTTATTTTTTATATATAGTATTATATTCTTTCTTTTACAATATGTTATGTTAATTATATTACAATGTATAATATCATGTTAATTACCACTCGTTGTGTTTTTACGTAATATAAATTCCCAAGCCTTTGTATTTACAACTGTAAAAGTGAATACGGCAGTATTCACGTTTACTAAAATGAATACACTTAAATTTTCAGAAGTGAATGCAAATATTTTCACACAACCTTATTAACGAATTCTCTTATTTATTAAAAAAATATATATTTATTTTAAAAAAATATTTACGATATATACCACTTTATTTTTTATATATAGTATTATATTCTTCGTTCGTTAATAATATGTTATGTTAAGTTAATTAACATTGGAACATATTGTACAGTCTGGACGATACCCTGGAAATTCCTAGGGGAATACGTGTACACAACAGCTTTAGGTTGAAGCAAGGAGGCAAGGGCTGTAAAATTTGGATAGTGACCTTTCCGGACCCTTATCTTATTCAGTTTTACAGGTGTAAATACAAAGGCTAGGGAATTTATATTACGTACAAACACAATGAGTGATAATTAATTTAGCATAATAAATTGTAACACAATTAACATAACATATTGTCAAAGAAATAATATAATACTATATATAAAAATAAATTATTTAATAAATATATTTTTTTTAATAAATAAGAGTATTCACTAATAAGGTTGTGTGAAAATATTTCCATTCGCTTCTGTAAATTTAAACGTATTCATTTTATTAAACGTGAATACTTCCGTATTCACTTTTACTAGTGTAAATACAGCCGTATTCACTTTTACAATCGTGAATACGTATCATCTGTATTCATATTTCTTTTTATGAATATAAATATACCATAGTACCATAAATATAATGGTATTAGTATTTATATTTTTGAATATAAATATGCCCATCTCGGCCAGAGAACGGCAAGAGAATACACGGTTTTCGGCGGCCATGTAGCTATTTCGCCAGTATATGAGTTTTATATTATTTTTGTTGATTTTATAGGTAATGTTAAACTTTAATAGTAACGAATAATTATTAAGAACTGTTTATCAACAACTGCAAAATTCGCGTTGTTGATCAATTGTTAGAATTCGACTATCAGGACTCAGGATTTAATTTTTTTGGGGGAGTGGGGCTTCAGCCCGAAATATATTTTTTTTCATTTATATAAAAAGATAATTAATTTGAAAAAAAAATTAAAGAGACTAACTACCTATATGAAATAGCGTTTACGTGATTCTTGACGTCCTATAAAAATCATAAATTAGACGATTAACTCTCAATAATACGCCTACAGAACTAAATTCTCAACCTTATTTCACCTGAATACTATGTCACTTGATAAATATTTGAACCAGATTAACATTACGTAAAATTAATTACTGTAACAACTTATTTGGACTTAATGACCCAAATTTTTATTCAAGAACTGGACACCAAAGACTAAATTAATAAACCAACTAGAAAAGCTGAAAAAATCGGCAAATAGATAGTCGAACGCATTACTTAATTTATGTAAAAAAAAAAGTCTACCAAGTAAGTCAGTAAAGCTTCCTCATCAGTTGTATTGGGTGAAGGAATTTTTTAAAATAACTAAATTTGCAAAGCGAGGTCTCCTTATTTGCACCTGTGCAGAAGTCAGCGTTATTGCACCTCTTCAGTAACGACGTCTACCACCTTTCTACCGACAGTCTACCTCATAAACCAAAAGTAGTACGAAACTGATACTAAGTATTTAAAGTTTGTAAATGGCCCGGATGTTACAGTAACTTTTTCGTTAAAATCAGCTAACCGGAAGTGCCACTTTATATAAACGCTGAAACACATTTTTGCAATTTTCTCAAAAGTGGCTCTAACGATTTTGAATTAACTAGGTGTATCATTGTATAATTAAGTGGTATTTCATATTATTTAAGTCTTATCCACGTTGAAGTCACTTTACAGGGCTTAAATGCCCAATGTTCATATATGTCTTCCTCTAAAGTACCTTTAATATGGTTTATTTTAAAAAGTTAACCATTTCGCAGTATTCAGAGTTACGAAAAAAATGCTACATATAACTTTTGAAAGAATTTGATAAGTTAATAGAGGAGAAAAAAAAATAAAAATGCAGAAAAACCTGCGTTGCTATAGACTGCAGCGCCTAAACGAATGTACATATTCCATTTTTTTCCCTGAAGAGGCGAACATTTGGATAATTTATTTTTTTTTTATTTCTTTATGAAATTTACAACTGTATTACATAAATACATCAAGTAAATTTGGACATAATTGATATAATGACATGAATACACTTGCTGAGTAACTACCCAATGGTAGCACTCTAATGATATGACTACATTAGGAGATCACGGGGTGGATAAATTTAAAATATAATTTAATTGTTGAGACTAAAAAAAAACTTTTTTCAACAGATATTTTATAAAGTATCTTTCCTAAGAACATCTTTCATAAGAAATAAGTACCTAAATTTATACCTTTATTCTCAGTTCTATATTTCAACACTGCAATCACCACCTCCGGAATCAATTTACTCACTGTCTGCACAGACAACTTTTTCAACTAAAAATATCACTAAAATGACATTACTCAAAAATGTTGAAATTGGAGTTAGTCATTCTCTGGTTTATAAAAGCAACAAAAGTTTTGTGGTTTATAAAAGCAGATAGAGTGACTAGATTTTTATTGCCTACCTTCGATATATTAAATCGACATTTTGTCATTATAATGGTCTTAAAGACTTGTTATCTGTAAGCTTTAAGCTTTAGCTCCGTTTAAAATGCACTTCAAAAATTTTTATAATAGCACAGCATTGCCAGAAAATAATTTTTATTCATAGTAGAGCGGTAAGTGAAAGTTGTGTGTACCAGATTTTTTTTTAATGTAGTGAATCGAATTTGTTTAAATTGAAACTCACCTGATCATTTTTTTATCAATATCTAACTTTCCTCCGAATTTGAGTCAATTTGAACGAGGAGTTATTGATAAATAAGCGTATCAAGGAAAATACGTTTAAGAGAAAGTTTTAAATAAAATTAAATAAAAAGGGTACAGTATCGTTGTTTTACCAGTACCCAAATTTCTTCAAAGTTTCAGCCAAATTGAACTAGCCGTTTCTGAAAAATTAAAAATTAAAAATAATACATTTTCACGTGGCTAACCTAAAGTATTTGATGGAATTTTATGAAACTGATATGGAACCATCTAGGCACCTACTCGCACACTCTCTGATAATCGGATTAACAGTAGTAGGTGATATGCCCGTCAAATCGATAAGGCAATCGCTGACAATAAGGCAATCGCTAACATTAAAGTAATCTCTTAACATTAAGGCAATCGCTCGTGCAGATAAGAAGAAGAAGTATCATTTATCTCTCATGCCTGTGGGAAGCAAAAAAAATGTCAACAATACCACTATTCATAAAATAATTATTTTTAAATAAATAAAAATTAAACAGAATATAAATATGTAAAGTAAATTCAGAAATAACACTGAAGTTAGAGTTACACTTAAGTTAACATTAGGTGGGTAAATCGGTACAATAAGTAGATGGGACCGCTGAGCAGTCGATAATTCAATCTGTGACTAAAAGAATGAATTCTATTTATGGCTCCATCGATGAGTTTAGAACCTGTTTGATTGCCGATGCCCATTACTGAACCCTGACCACATATTTTATTTCTATTGTAATCCAACTGATTTTGACTAACAGTAAAACTTCTCAGAAACGGACACTTGCGGGAATCAGAAATTATCTAGTAGATGCAGATGTCCGTTTTAGAGAAATTGGAAGTAAAAAATCAAATAAATAATATTTTATTTTATAAGCCATATATCGAGAAACTGAAATCGGTTATTCATTCAAAAACATTTTCTTTTTAAATTTAAAATTTAAATATATTTTTTATTATAAAAGTGCATATATGAAACATACACTTTTTTGCATATAGGTAAATTAAAATTTCTAAATATTTAGAATTGTAATCTGTAATGTTTGTTTGAACAAGCATAACTATTTTGTTTTTTTAATTGATATAGATAGATAAAATCGTTACAATTATTTCCCTATCTTCCTTCAAAGTTAAAATTGTTTCTCAGCCTACTAATTAGTGACTGAGCTTCTTCCGTATTCATTGGGGATTTGGAGGATTCAGATATCACAAAAATGAATTATTAGCCCAAATATCCAGCAGGAGTATAATTGTTCGAAATGGTAGTGCGAATGCTGGATGATTAAAGCACGAGTTTGGCGAAATCATTCATGTTACTTGATCTACGGCCTAACTTTTAGGGAATTATTTGTTGATATTGAAATTTCCGTATTTTTTTCGGCTTCTGTTTACAGTATTCTTTATTTCTTTAAAATGTCTAACCACCAATGGCAAATACTAAGCTTTTCCGAAACAATCATTAATAACATAACCTTTTCTTTAAAATTAATTTAATTGAAATCGTGTTGACATTTTACAATCAAATCTATGGAAATAACAAAACGTCAAGACTTTAAACTCTACTCAAAACATATAAAATAAATAAATTGGATTAATTTTCTTAGAATATGAGTCCCACAAGCCCACCAATGTCTGTTATGGAGAGACTTTTCAATTAAAATCTTCATCATAACTTAAGACTCTCAAACCTGTCTGCTTCTGTTAAAGAGAAAGTCCGGTATGTAGAAGTCATTTATACAGTAAAATTATTGAGATCATGTGGGAATTATTAAAATTATCCGCTATAATGAAGTGTACGCAACGGAAAGTTTCACCGTATAATATTGCTGAGTCCTCAAATGGGAGGAGTAAAGTGAATGGGTGAACTAGAAATAAACAATTTTTATCGATTTTATTTTAAAAGCTTCCCCTAAATAAGTAATATATTTCGGCCCTGGAATCACTGCTAATCTGGATATCATTTCTTAAAATTTAAAGCTTCTTGATCTATGAAAATAACATAAAAATGTTGGCAAGAGTTTTAGTGAGTACTAAAAGAATAATAAAGTCAATAATTACCCTCGGTATTTAGGCGTCTTAAGAGGTATTTTAAGATGGATGGTCATGAGAAAATAATTAAACCAAAAAGCAATATTCAAACCACTCGAATTTTTTTCCCCATAAGGACTTAAATGACCTAAGGAGAAGAGTCAACACTAGGATATAATAAATCAGAAAAACCCAAACATCTGGTGACATCCCGATTACAGCCACATGTGAAACTTGAACCACAGACGCCCGCGCGCGCACAGACACACATTTTAAGTTGATAGAAAATCTTTCATATACTACTTAAACACTTTGGAAATCAAATTAACACTTAGAGTAGGAGGTTATATGAATTTTTATATCACAGAGCTATCATATATGAAATTTAATTTTAAAAACAAATGAATTGCTGTAAAACAATCAATTACGGCTACGACCATTTGAGACTATCGATATACTATGATAATAATAAAAGCGAAACATATAATGCAATACTATATGTAATGCAATAATTGATAATTCAGAATGATTTATGGCCTACCAGTGATATCCTTTTCGGCATCCTCCTGATACCATTTTCAGAAGGTCCCATTCTACTTGATATGTTTAATAACCTGCCAAAAGTAACAATAACACAATTATTAAAAATTATTAGTGAGTATTATAGATACAAAAATATATAAATCAAGAAACGCGGTGGCAATCCGACGTAACAGAAGAGAAACGCGAATAAAAACTACATAAAAAAACTCCACGAGTATTATATTCTCCACATCAAGTATGGATTTTTGGGGACTAATGGGTTCTTCGAATATATAATGATCTTGGAGCTTAAAACTTTACACAGATAAAGGCACATACTTTGATACGAAACATATAATATGCAGTATCCTGAATAACTGGCGGATCCAGAATTTAATTTTGAGAGGGCTTTAGCCCGAAAGATTTTTTTTTTTTTCATATATATAACGATAATTAATTTGAAAAAAATCAAGAAATTAACTACCTTTATGAAATGGTGTTTGAGTGATTCTTGAAGTCCTATTAAATGTAATTACACGAACAATAATACTTTAAGAGATAGTTTTTAACATTTTTTTCTATAAAACATGGTTATATTTTGCCGTTCAGTCCAAAACCCCTCCCCCCCCGTAGATCCCCCTGTATCCTGAATGTTAACCGTAAACAAACACTGAAGGAAATACTCGATAACTACTATGATATGTGTATTTCAAACTGCTGTCGCTTTTGATCATTCTTAAGGTTTCGAAATTATGAAACAATGTATTTAAATAAAAATCTTATAAAATAATTGTATTCTAATTAACCAAACGAAATCGTGTTCCAAGATAATTTGCAACCTTTTTGTGAATTGTCAGAAAAACATAAATATATGCACACTCTTTTCGCACCACATTAAATTAAAGCAAAAAGCTTACATTCTTCATGAAAACTGCATTGCTGTGGAAAGTTCATTACACATATTTTTTAATAAGTGTAAACGTCAAATTTATTTAGATGAAACCTTTTTTTTTTATATATATCAAATCGTCTAAAATTAATTAAACTTTAGAAAATTAGAGAGCCTCATCACTAGAATATTGATTCATTAATAAACAATTTTTAACTGTGGATAGATAGTTAATTGTAGTGAATAATTGAAGAGAAGAATGGTTAGGGTATTCAGTAAAAAAAAAAAGTAAAAATAAATAAGTATTTTTATTTTTACTTTTTTTTACTGATTATCAATTATTAATTTTAAAAAACTTGAAAATTTTTATAGCGTTCTTTATAAACCACTGCTGGCCTTAGATATTCGATGCCCCCGGACAATGACATCATCTCTCCCTTCCCCAAAAAAATTAAATTAATTTATTTTTTGAATTTGTTTCATTAAATGTTTCTCCAATACAGCTGCTTTATTGACAGGCTAAATTTGATAATTTTAATACGTTTTATATATATTTTTTTAATTTCTAGAAGTGTTGAGCACCCCTGAAGATTGGGCGGTGCTCTCCCAGGTCGGCGTCCCGGGGCTATTGCCCCGCCCACTGTGCAGAATAAGAGATTCAATCCCACGAAGTTAAAAATTTGAAAATTCAATAACTTACCTTTGGGATTCAGAAAAATAAAAGAATACTTTATACCGTGCAGGCATGTAAAACTTTTTGGTACGCGACTGATCTACTTTTAGAGACACTGACATCGACGGGACGGTCACAGAGGTGGCAAACACACGCAAAAAGCCTCAGAAAGGAAGGGGCGGCTTTCGGGCTCAGACCTCTACAAAAAGAATAAATCCGAGAATAAGTTCGATTTTTCTATGGTCCTCATTTATTTTTGTGATTGATCTGAACTAATTACTTAAACAATCACAATAGGAAGTTTTCTAGTCATATTGTTTAGGTTAGCTGCCATTTTTTAACTTAAATAAAAAAATTAGGCCAAAGGTCACCAAATATACTCAGTTATCACATGATGTATTATTTATTCGACGTTTCGGTTTCAGGAGCCATTTTCAAGATCCATGCACCGCTTCGTAAGATTTCTTAAAATGTATCATTATAATATAATCCGTCGGTCTGTCATTCTTTTATTTCATGGAATGTCGGTTTTTCACTTCCCTTTCGTAAACAATATTAAATGTGTTCTTTACTACTAACGCATTCATACAAGCCTTGCTTCGGCTCCTAAAGCCGAAACGTCGAATAAATAATACATGATGTGATAACTGTGTATATTTGTTGATCTTTGGCCTAATGTTTTCTGTATTTGGTGAAGCTATATTTCCTTTATACATATATATTCTATCAGTGGTGCCCTTCCCCAAGGACGAAACCTGCAATTCAACCTCCGCATTCTTCAGGAAGAATTAAATAAGATAAAAATGCAAATAAATGTGGAAAAAACCAAAACTATGAGGATTGGCAGGAAACAAGGAAGAGGAGACAGAATAGTGCACTTGAGTGGAGTCCCATTAGAACAAGTGAAAACTTTCAAATACCTCGGTGCCCACATCAATGAACATGGATGGATCGACGGAGAAATAAAGGAAAGAGTGAAAGCTGCAGGAAGGTGCTTCAACGCCATCAAGAAGGGATTCTTGAACAAGAGAGAAGTAAGTAAAGAGACCAAAACCATCGTGTACAAAAATACTTTCCTCCCGATAATGACCTACTCCAGCGAGTCATGGACCCTCACCACAAAGAACATCAGCCAGATTCAGGCCATGGAGATGCGATTCTTGCACAGGGTCGAAGGAAAAACAATTGTTCATGTCTCTCGAATGCCAGAGAATCAAATGACCAGGATAGCGTTGGAAAGTAGAGTGGTGGGAAGAAGACCTCAGGGAAGGCACAGGAAGACCTGGGAGGCTAGTGTCAAGGAGGCCTTTGACAGAAGGGATATTGACTGGAGGAGGAGGCGGCAGTTGGATCAGGTTCGAGAGTTGTGGATTCGGCTCTACAAGAAGGCTCCTCTCACCGCTCAGCGGTAGAAGAGGAAATGATTAAGAAGAAGAAGACATATATATCCCATCAGGGGTGCCCTCCCACCAATGACAATATATATCCCCCATGCCCTCCAAGATCGATGGCGCAAGAACCTACCTGCCCCTCTCCTCTTAAGATATTTTATTGTTCAACTTTTCTTAAAAACAGCAAGCTAAGGTAGAATTAGAAAAATCGTAGATCATATGCAATTACACTTGCTGCGGTCAGTTCTGTTTCCACCTAACAATGCATTGTAATGATTAATATTTGACATTTACATTCATTGACAATCAAAGATGAATAAGATTATTTTCTTGATTTTAATTACATCATTAAAAATCTTTCTCTAACAAATTCCTAAGAAACAAAAGTTGAATTAAAGCCTTTTACAGTGAAGGCGAACGAGTGTAGCCCAAATTTAGGCACACAGTCGGTCGCTGCAGTGGCAAATATAATCGCGTCGTTGTTAACACAGGGGTCTCTAAGGATTTTTAGGTAAAACTAAAAAACGTCTGATAAACTGCTCATTTCCATGCATCTTCAGGATCCCAAGGGTGCCTGTATCTCCCGTTTTTATAAAGAGTTGAAGTGACTTCATCCTTCCTACTGTTGTAAATATTTCCTAGTATCCTTCTTCTTCCAAGTGATCCAATTCCACAATCTCTTATATACTTCCGAGCTCCATCAATTCAAATCTCTGGTTATTCCCGGTCTTCAGGTTTGTATACAACGAAATCTTTCAATATTTGATCCTCCCCATTTGTTTTTTGTAAATCATTAATGTGAGAAGTTAACTTAAAAATTAAATTTTTTTTTCTCAAGCTGTTATATATTATGTAATATTTGAATGTTTTATTTTGTCAATACAGTTGCTTTATTAATAGGCTAAAATTAATTATTTTAATACGTTTTTTATATATTTTTAAAAATGATAATCGGACCCAGTTGCCCACCCTTAAGACCGGCACTGATTGTATTAATTGTAACTTAATACGCCAATGACCCTTCGTGATACACACGAAATTAACAAACAAAAAGTTCCTTCTTCATACTCTTGAAAATAAAGTTTAATGATTAATAAATATGTCAAATGGAGCCAAACAAATCTTGAGAGCACGGGTTTCATGACCTGGATTAACCTCTTCTCTCTCCCCTCGCCATCAGGACATTTTGTTCTAATTGATATAGGTACCATTGCATTGATTACTTAATATTTAATACTTATAAAATTACTTAAAAGAAAAAAAAGTTAATATTTATAAATTATACCCAATCTCACGAACCAGCTATACGAAATGGCAACAATATATGAACTTCCGTTAAATAATTATTTATGGTGTTTTACGAGAATAATTTAAAATCGATTTAGCATTCACTAAAACTACCAGATGGATAAAAACGCAGCATCAGCGAAAATAAAATATTGCTTCACATAGCCTAGTTTCGGTCTTGCCCGCTTCAAACTAACAACATAAGATTGGTTGTGATTTTACATTTATCTCGCAGATATTGAAAACAACCAGGTAATGTTATGGTAAAATTTATTAATATATATAATTTTCTTAATTAAGTAAATCGAACAAAACTATTATTAAAAAATCAAGGTGGGGCTGGCGACATTGTCAGAACTTCCACTAATAAAACTAGTGATAATAAGCAAAAGCAAATTGCTATAAATAATAAAGCAAAGCATTTTATACTGACTAACAATGACCAATAAACAAAGTTACTTAGATGGTTTTAAAATGAAATTGAAATAAGATTTGTCTTAATGACAAAAACAAATTTTCTAAAAAATATTATGATAGAGATGCGTAATTACTGATACTTAATATTTATTTACTAAATATTCCTTGTAGAGGCAACAAAATACCAAATAAATAAATAATAATTGCATTGTCGACTAGAGAAATGTGGAATGTAACTTTTTTAACTATTACTGTTTTTTGTAGAGTATTGTTGATTCATTTTAAGATAAGGATATAGATTAGGTTCTCAGACTGACTGAGACTAAGCGTTATTATGAGAACTTTCCCAAATCTTTAGACATAACGCGTTATTTTTATCCAACGTTGCTATTGCTAACGTCAACAATTCTTGTAATTTCTGACCTAGGTAAATATTTTGGACCTTCAATTTTTCTATAAAAGTTCTAATCCTTTACAGATAAGGACATTAAACTATTGAACTGTTTGCAGAGGCGACATAATGTATCAACAAAAGCTTGCAACAGAGGTCTTCAAACGTTTTGGCCGACGGGCCGCATTGAGACTCCACCGAAGTCCCGCAAGCCATGACTAGTGATGAAAAAATATATTTTGTTTTAAAAATGTCACTTCGGCTCTGAAATATACTTTCTAAGAGGAAAAAAACCCATACAATAAATGTTGCAGTAACCTCATGTGTGAGTAATTTCATAGTTTTTCAAATTTTACTACCTTATTATAGACATTTTCGCAGGTTCGATTGAATGAAGATGCTTGCGGATTGGATCGGGCTCACGGGCTGTATTTTGGAGACCCCTGGTTTAAACAAAAGTTTAATTACCGGATGGTTTAAGATCCCTTGTACACGCAAAGGTGCTTTTAGACAACTCACAAACTATGGAAAACAATTACCTTCCTTAGCTAACAGCGACATTATTACTAAATCAACTATTTATTTCATTTCTCTTGATACCGACAGCAGATGGAAAATATCAAAAACAAGAAACAAAAATACTGAAACAGTGACAACAGATGGAAAACATCAAAAACAAGAAACAAAAATACTGAAACAGTGACAACAGATGGAAAACATCAAAAACAAGAAACAAAAATACTGAAACAGTGACAACAGATGGAAAATATCAAAAACAAGAAACTAAAATACTGAAACAGTGAAATAACCGTTTATATATCCTCCTTTATTGGCTGCTGCTAATCGACATCCTATTTCAGTTTCCTCTTCCATCCTTTCGGTGATTGCAAATCCCAAGTATTGGAAACATGGAACAACCTCAAAAGTAAAAAGTAAACACTGGGACGACTATGGATTCCTTACATTTTTTGGGTACACGTTCTTCTTGCTATATATAGGCTATCAGCTTACATAGTTCACTATTCATTTCGTTACCCGCTACTTTCCACAGTTCTGATGTGAGGTCACCTGCTCCTGGGGCTTTATGATTTCGCAGTCCAGCTATGATGATCACAATATCCTCTGCCTGCGGGACATTTTTTCATCCATGTCATGCCAAGACCCTTCATGGATTGTAGTGGTACAGGATTTTTTTTTTTTAATATTTAAAAGAATATAACTTAAATGACCATGTTTTTCTATTATTTATTTATTCTAATCACGAAATTGTGGATAAACAGAACTAAGTATCATTGAAGCAGGAAAATATTGTATTCCATTATCCATTACCTAATGATTTCATGAATTGTGAAAAGCTAAGAAACAAATCATATTAAAAAAAAACTCAAGTCAATCGAAGACTTTCAAAGATAACTACTAAAACATTTAATAAAACAACCAAGATACTAGTATATTGTTAAAAATATTAATTTGCAATAAAGATAAGAAATAAGTTATAGAGAAGATACTTTTTTTAGGTTGCTTTAGTTTAAGTAATTTTGACAAATAACAGTTAAATAATTTCAAGGGCAATATTATTTCTAAGCAAAAATGAAAGCTAGATTTTTAAAATCATTTATGCAATTTAAATATAATCCAAATTAAATAAAATTAAAAACTAGTTTCTAAATCACTTAAATAATTTTTTTTAGAATTAAAACATTACAGTACTTTTCCTAAACATATAATTTAAAAAAATGTTGCATCTGAAACATTATTTTCAAGTATAAAAGTAGAGAGCAGTTATTGATTATCTGAGCTTTGAATTTCTAATAAACACTTGAGTTTTTAACATAAAAACTGTTTACTTGTGCAAGAGCACTTAAATTTTAGAAAAGTCAGATAAAATTGATTTACTTATTTACTTAATATGCAGTAAGTGGGGTATTAGCTTCCCGGGTGGGTCTTTGCTTCCTGGATTATAGCATGCCAATGTTCTCTATTCTTCGCCCTATCCTTTCAGTTTCTCACACCCAGTGTTTTGAGGCCACTCTCAAAATCCTGAACCATCTTTTCATTGGCCTTCCTTTTCTTCTCGTGCCATACATTGTAGAAAACAATGTAAATCCTGCTGCTGTCCATTCTAGCCACGCGGCCTAAACAAAATGAACTATGTCACTGCTATTATATAGTTCATATAGCTCCGATTTTTTTTCGATGCCTCCACACATCCTCTTCACAAACAGCTCCATAAATTCTTCTCAATATTTTTCTTTAAAAAATATTAGCACACTAATTGTGCTTGCAAAAAAAGTCCATGTCTCTGCTGCATAAGACACAATAGGTCGTACTAAAGTGTTATATAACCTTATCTTTGTTTCTCGTGATAGAAGCGATGATTGAAATTTTTTTTATTTATTTTTTTATAGTACACCCTATTTCCAGCAGTGATTCTCTTGCTTACCTCAGCAGCAATTTTATTTTCAGAATTCACTTCCACTCCCATGTACGTGAATGTTTTGACACACTCGAAGGTGAGACCACATATTTCAATGCTCTCAGGACCATCATCATTGTCGGCCCTGACATACATGTATTTTGTCTTCTTTTGATTAATTTCCATCCCAACATTTTCACTTTCAATATTTCCTTTATTGACCTCAAATACCTGGTAATTAGGCATATATCGTCTGGGTAAGCACATATTTGTACCATTGCGTTAAGTATGCAACCAAGTGAATCCAGTTTTTTCAAAATATTATTAAGTGTAATATTAAATAATGTAACAGACAAAGCATCTCCTTGTCAAACCCCAACCGCCATTGGAAAGTTATTGCTTACATTGCCTTTAATAATTACTTTTGCATTGCTATTATTCATCGTCATTTGCAACAACCTAATTAATTTTTGTGGAATTTGAGACTCATGTAAGGCATTAATTTGCTTTAAGAAGCAAAGGAGTGATAAGTCACTCTATTGAAAGCTTGCCGGTAATCTATGAACAACATATGCAGGCCAATCTTATATTCCCAGGCTTTTTGCCTTAGCTGGCTGATTACAAAAAATTGGTCAGTTGTTCCTCTCCCCTTTCTAAATCCACACTGGTGTTCCTCCAATATGTTCTCAGCAAATGTGTTGAGCCTCACAGAGAGGATGTTTGAAAATATTTTGTAAGGAAATTCCTCTTTAATTAGAGTTTATCTCCTTTTTTATCTATATCGGGCATATCACACTGGTGCACCAGTCTGGAGGCATGATTTCACTACTCCTAACATACTCCAACAGTAAATGTATTTGGCTTATCAATTCTTCCCTTCCGTATTTAAAGAATTCTGTAACCAGCATATCTTCCTCAGATGATTATTATTTTCTAATTTTTCAATCGCCTTAGCCACATCTTCTATCGACAATGGCTCTAGATCATCAACACACCTTTCCTTATCACTGCCAGCCATACATTCATTACCATTAGAGTTAAGCAATTCTGTGTAGTGCTCTTCCCAACTACCTATAACTCGGGAGCTCTCAACTACTACACCATTTTATGTTTGTATCCATTCATTTTTGACCGAAAACTGTGATTCATATACTTTACTACTCCATAAAATCTCCTTGCCTCATTTGTAGCTCTCAATTCCTCCATTTTTCTTTCTTATTTTGAATAACAGTCTTTGATTTATTCCTACTTTCTGTATATGACGCAAAGGTTTGTCTTGCAAAGCGCTGCAACATCATCGTCCTACATTGATTTCTTTCACGCAGAAACTCAAGGCATTCAGAATCAAACTACTCCTCATTCCTTTACCTACTCTTCTCAACTATATCCTTCTCTGCTGACTTTTCAATAGCTCCTCTAATTCTCTTCCACTTTTTGTTCACACATTCCTCTCCTTTATCGCCCCGCCCCGACTGTCTATCAGATTCCTATTTAGCGATGTTCTAAATCTTGTAGCAATTTCAGGGTTCTTCAGCTTATCAATCTCCCATATTTTCCTACAGTGCCGTTGAGCAGTTTTGATCACTGCAAGGCATTGTCTGAGCTTCAATTTAACCATATAATAATCTGAGTCATAGTTTGGTCCTCTCGCTGCTCTGATATCAATAATTGAAGTTGCATGCCTTTTCTGAACTAGTACATGATAAGATAAAATTGATTTAAAGATTATAATTCCACTTTTTAAAATAAAATTAATTTTTTTTTAAAGAAGTATTCCTTATATTCCGATAACAGTGAGAGCAAAAGCTCAACAAAATTGACAAAAATTAAATATAGATTATAATTGAAATATTTTAAACAAGGCCTTAAATAGAAGTTATTAATTAGAAAATGTTTTGACAATTTAGGAATCATCAAATTCTAATTTACATCCAAGATTGAAAAAAAAAAAAAACTACATTGATGCAGAACATTTGGAAAGAATGACAGATCAAATAATACCAAAGAGAATGTTCTATGGAAAACCAGATCATGAGAGAAATAAAGGACACTCTCCAATTAGAAGGCTAGAGGATGTGGAGGATAAACTGAGGCAGCAGAGTGTTCGAAGAGGGAGAGAGAAAGCATAAGGTTGTGGAGAATGGTTGGTTATAACTTAAATAGTGGAGGAGGGACCATAGTGCCATGATAATAATAATAAGCTAGAAGGTTATTCTCTGAAACAGACGGATTAATAATTGCCAATCAAGATCAAGTTATTGCCACTTGATATGCAACAACCGGATAAATTTTAATTATGCTCTGTGAGGCTGGAATCAATCCAACATATTACAGGTACATGTGGACTGCAAGCTGTTACTTAGCATCTCCATAGGCACAACAACGTACCCAAAATTGTCTATCAGGCCTTGGCCATGAAGTTCAACTTATTACAAGATATGGCACAATATTATCTGTACAACCCAAATAGACTCCTTCAAAAAGGTCACCTCAAGCTCTATTGGGATAAATCAATTATTATAGTTCATACTGTGTGTGATAACAGAACAGATATACTCCTTATAGATTTGAGAGGGATAAAAAATCAGGATTTATTGATGTCTGGATCTCCAATGATAACATAACAGTGGGAGAAAAATTCAGATAATATCAGGAACTGCTGATCGAATTAAAGGAAATACATCATTTCAAAAGCTTCATCACCACTCTGATTATAATATCCACAAATCGGCTGATACCAAAGTCAATAGTGGTAGGCACAGATAGTTTAAAATTACATATTGATATGCTAAGAGGGGCTCAACAGTCAGTTCTCTTAGATACAGCACATATAGTTAAAAAGACTTCTGGTGTGACACCTCAGAAACTCGACCCACAAAAACGAGAAAAAACAGAAAATAATAAAATTATTATTATAAGGTATGGATGGCTTGGAATTGCCCCTAATGTGCTAAGAGTTATCTTAGACATAGCCAGAATTATAAATTTATTTAAAATTAAAAAATGTATAACTGAAGATGGTTGAACTTGTCCCTTTAGTTTAGACTCCGCAAATGAGAAATAAATCAGCATAATAATAATATTAATGCAGACTAACACAATATGGATGTACAAATCCATACATACATGTGTTAAATTGTTTATCTATAATGGTTTATTCTTCATCAATATCATTTTCAGTAACAATGATGTCTGAATTGATGAAACATGACCAGTTTGTTACAATCTGTATAATGATCAGTTTACTATCAATTTTTTCATCTGTCAAGAATATTTTCATTTGACAAATTTATATCAACAAACTGTCTGCCATATGTGCTATTTAGTTTTTCGATTCCAAAACAAAACCTGCGCCTGGAACGGAAAAACCTCACTGTAGGAACAAACCTATTAAGTAAAAATGAGATTTTTAGAAAAAACAAAAACATGATGTAGTTGGAGTGATCAGATATCAAAAGATTACATTTGACACATTGTAATTCAGATATTAAGGATATAAGGATACTGTCTCAGAAAGCCATTTTCAATAACAATGATGTCCAGCAGTTTGAAAGTAGTCTTCACCACAAAAGATGAAATAAGGCAGAAGTTAGAAGAATTAGACGATAAATGACTGCAATAAACTTGGAGCCTGATAGATGCACATTGAATAGGTATATATATTAAGATTAAATAAATTGGATCAAACTAATGATTTCATTGTTGAAAAATTAGAATGACTATGTAGACATATTGAAAAAATAATATATCATTGGTTTAATATAAAACATATTTTTTACAAGAAATAGACATAATAAGATTAGGTACAATCTAATTTTCGAAAATGTTATATAATGACTCTTGAAATAAACGGAGGTTATACTTATTCTTTAAAGACTCATTCCTGTAAATTTATTTTTAAATTCATGCACTGATTATATTTTTATTGGTAAATCACAAGAATAGTAAAATAAAATTAAAAGTTATTATTTTTAAAGCAATAATGATGAAAATTAAATTAAATCCACCGACAATACAGACTGACTTTAGCTGAGATAACATAATTACCTAAGTTAAACTAATAAGCAATTCATAGGAAGAATTTCACGGAACAAATAATGAGTCAAACTGATAAAAGATAACTAATTAATTTATCAATTAAGATGTAATAAAAATAAAAAAAACCATTACCAGAAAAGAAATTCGCTTTAAAGGGTCTTCAGGAAAATATATTATCACATAACTAAGCATGTATAGAAGGTTCCAAGACTGTTTAACTACAAAATAGATAATGGATATATGTTGTTGAAATATGAGTAAAAATAAAAACAGTTATACATTTTTTAAACAAAATATTATATTAAATATTTTGGAACAGTTTTATAGTGAAAACAACCTATTACAAAAACACTGAAAGTAACAATAACATTAACACCACTAAGGCCGGCAAATCCTAAACCAATTGAAAAAAAAAACAATTCCTCTATAAACACAAAACGGTCTTTAGGAAAGTGACAACATATTATTAAATAGAGCCAATTAAAAACTATTTATGAATCTTACCAGCAAAAAAATAAATGTTTAAATGACAACCAAAACAAACTGTAGTTTACAACACTTAATGCGTCTACATAAGGCAGCCATTGAATAATAATGCCTTTAAAATTTTTTTTCAGGTACTTTTTGCAGCTGGAAATAACAGCGTATAATAGCGGATAGCACTATTCGGAATAATTAATTTTAATAGAATAATCAAACTCAATTACTTTTATAGATAAGCTTTGGTTATTTTAGAGATTTTTAACACCTTGTTAATTCAATAGAAGGTTATACTTCAATAGAGGAATTGTTTGTTTACATCTTTTCATGTGTCAAGTTTGTGGATAATACGTAAATACTTCCTAATTGTTTGACAGTTAATATTCATCTATTATATCAAACACTAAAGATATGTTGGACCAACAAAACACATTTGCTCTCAAAGGCAACGTTGCGTTTAACGATAGACAAAAATCAATTTTTGACGTTCTAGACAAACATACCCCTGCAAAGAGTATCGTAAGGTATTCTGAAGATGAATTCAAGAAATCTGAATCTAAAACAGTTATTGATGCCAATAAAAAAGACCTAAAACAGTTCAGGGGGCAAGAAAGTATCTTCAAGAAGCCAGAGATGCCCAAAAAAAGGTCTTTCAAAATTGCTATTCCCGATTTTGTTAAAAATCCTCACAAATGGAAAAAATATAAGATGGCTGGTGATGTTATGACTGATAAATCAAATACTGCTGCTGCCATGTCTTTCTTAAAGGAAATGAAGGAAAGAAAGGAACCTATGGATGTCGAAAAAGGTGACTTAAAGGACCCTATATTATTTAACAGACATATTAAATCAGATGGTGAGAAATTAGCCTCCAAAGAAAAAGAAACTTCTACGTTTGTTAATGGAAAAAGAGTCATGCCTGAATATGTGGTTGGTCAAAAAGTTAAGAAAAGTGTAACTTTTAAACCAGTGTTGCAGTCTGATTTACCTGTTTCTTCTGTGAAACTGGGCCATTTATTTGACGATGATGAGGAAGCATAAAAACTTAATTATTTTTGTGTATATATTTGCAATGTAATATAATTTTATTTGTTATAAATGTTTATTAAATATTAGTTTTCATTTTAAAAAATGAACTGCCCTTTCTATTAATCATTTGATTTAGTTCACATTTTCCTAATTATTATATGTTATTTCTTCTGTTTTGATTATCTAAATGACATTTAAGTGAGACCAAGGATATATTATTATTTTTTTAGTAATTTATATTAACTAGTTCAACTTGTAAGTGAATATTTTATTAATTAATTATTATGGCACTATTCTCATGAATATAAAAGATAATGTTTAAATTTTCTACAATTCATTCATATTTTTTTTTTTTATTTAAAGGTTTTTCTTTTTAAATTGAAGTTTCCCTCAGCCTAAAACCTCCCTCAGTCCATTCTTCCACTTATCCCTGTCCAATGCTTCCTCCTCCCTCAGCCCTCGGCCTGCCATACTCTCAGCCACATCTTTATATCTGAAATGAGGTCTTCCTCTCCTATCCTCAGCCTCCCACTGAAATACCATTTTGGGAAGTTGTTCGCTATTCATCCTTTTCTTATGCCCATACCACTGCAATCTTCTTTCTTCCATTATTTCTAGTATATTATTCTTAACTTCCATATTTTTTCTAATGGTCTCGTTTCTGTTTCTTTGATTCCTTGAGACTCTAGTTGTCCTCCAAAAATCCATCTCCACAGCTAGAAATCTTTTGTTGTGTTTTATCGAGCAGCCACGTTTCCAAACTATAGAGCATTACAATCTCTGACAGGCCTTATATATTAATTTCTTTACTTTATTATAAATATTTTCGCTCCATAAAACTGAATTGAGCATATCAATCGCTTTCCACCCATTTTGTAAATTTTTTTTCAATATCCTTCTAGCTATTTCATTGGTTCGGGTGTTGAGCCAAGGTAGCAAAATTGGTTTATCCTACAAATTACATTCATAATTGAAAAATGAACTGAACTGTGACTTAAGATTGCCAAATTCTCATTTAATCAAGATTACTTTGAGCTCTTATTAAATTTGACATAAATTTACTCTGTGAATTCACGAACAAATGAAATTTTTTTTTAATTACAAAAAAGAAATGTTGACTAAAATATTAAAAACTAAAATCAAGAGTCACCATAGAAAAATTATTTTTATGTAAAACTTTTCTTTATGATCTCTTTACAGTGTAAAAGCTTGAAAATAGAAAAAAAAAATTCCAACTTGTTAAAAGTTGACCAGTTCTTCTAGAAATTAAAGAGCAACTTGTGAAGTTTTTCTATAAACAACATGTATTAGCAAGGAATAAATTTTTTAACACTAAGAAAATATTACATTATTTAAAAGAGAAATAATTAATACAAATTTCATTTACTAATTTTTGTAGAAAGAAAAATTTTTAAATTTTGGATTTTGTCAAAATAGTCCTGTTATGTTATTCTATATTAAGATCTTTTTATTTATTTGATTTTTTAAAATATTTAATATATAATTTGGGATTTTAAAAAGGCTTCTTATAACTTTTTAAATGCTTGAGTATAAAAAAAAACAGTGAATGAAACTTTTTCTCGCTTTTTAATTTGTTCATATGAATAAGTTATTTTACAATTTATTAATTTTGTATACCAATCACAATAATATCAAAATTTTCAGAAACAAGTGCAGGAGGGGAAATACTGGTCTAGTATTTTGATCACAGCTCAATTCCATTTCCTTGAGTGAGCGAACCTTAGGAATTTAAAGACCTTGAAAAAAAAATATGTGTATGATGGAGGTTAGGTTACTTTGAAGAGTCTAAGATCTACTAGATCTTTAACCAATCATTGGTTGTTGTGTGAGTTTCTCTCACATAAATCGTTGATCCAGTCCAGGAGCTCCTAGAGGCAGGATATTTATCCAATCTTTCTAGAATCTGTGGTTCAGTCTCTTCCTAATCCAGCTCTCCTACTACCACTCTACCATCCCCCAATCAGTCTCCAGCCCATATTCTCTTCTCACGATTCCCTCTCAAAGACATTCTCTCAAGCACAACTTTTTATAAAAATATACGATTTTTGAGTTTTTTCATGTGCGACAAGTGTTTGTAATCTTTCAAAATGTTCTTTTCTTGGGGGAAAAGATTAGCCAAACTTGTTAAACGTAGATTTGAAGAGGTAGGATCTTTTTCCTTTGCCTTTAGTTAAGTTCTAAGTCTGCACCTCTTCTCTTGACAAAGAACTACTGCAAAAAATGACATTAGTTGAAACACTGCCAAAGAATAAAAGAGAAATTCCAACTGTAACAAAACATGCCCAGTACACCATATAATATAATCATACTATATTTATGAAAATTCTTCGTCTGGCTGAACATTTTATTTCAAGTTTTTATAATAAGGATATATTTATTTTGAAGAGCTATTATATAATTATATTTGTATTTTTGAACTTTTTCTTGAATGAATTTTTTTCTTCATTAATATGCAATAAAAATCATGCAAAAAGAAAATTTATTAAACATATTTTAAAAATAAATCATGAATCTTTTATTAAAAAAAAATGAATTTATATTTTTTTTGGAAGTTCATCTTATATTGCTACCATCAAAGCGCTATTAATGTCTTTAGTCATGGGGGGGTTCCAGGCAAACCTCTCAATAGCTCAACATCCTATAGACCAATCAGCCTACTCCCAATCCTTTCAAAAATTTTTGAAAAGATCCTTTTGAAACGAATCCTACCCATTATAGAATCCCAAAATATCCCTTCCCATCAGTTTGGTTTTCGCTCTCAACATTCTACTGTTCAACAAGGACTCCGAGTTGTTGATCATATTTCCTCAGCCCTAGAAAACAAGGAATACTGTTCGGGTGCCTTTCTGGACATTGCACAGGCATTTGACCGGGTATGGCACTCCGGACTGCTCTCTAAGCTTAAAATCCATTTACCTCAGTCCTTGTACCTAGTCCTCCGATCCTGCCTTTCTGACCGCTCCTTTCGAGTTCGCTGTGGAACAGAATTTTCCAATATCTACTCCGTTCCCCGGTATAAAGCCGGTGTTCCCCAAGGCAGCGTCTTGGGTCCCGTGCTTTACATCCTCTTTATTGCTGACATCCCGATACTTTTCTTGCAACATTCGCTGACGACACCGCAATCTTATCATTCAACTCTGATCCCGAAATAGCATCCTTAAATCTCCAAAGTCACCTCACCTTGATTGAGCACTGGTGTAATAACTGGCGCATTAAAGTTAATGAATCTAAATGCCAACATATTACCTTTACACTCCGACGCAATTCCTGTCCACCAGTACTCTTTAATTCCATCCAGCTTCCTTACTCAGACATAGTCCGGTATCTTGGCTTTCATTTAGACCGAAGACTAACTTGGGACCCGCATACTAGACTCAAAAGACAAGAACTCAACCGACAATACGGCCAACTATACCGACTACTAAGCCGAAAATCTAAACTATCCATTGAAAACAAGCTACTGATCTACAAGACAATACTGAAACCTATTTGGACTTACGGACTAGAACTGTGGGGATCAGCAAAATTTTCTAACATCAAGCGCATCCAATCCTTCCAGTCTAGTCCTTCGAACAATAGTCGATGCTCCTTTCTATGTAACCAACAAAACCCTACATCATGACCTCAACATCCCATTTGTCCTAGACCTTATCCCAGAAAAATTCTCCAAATTTCACCAGAACCTTACTTACCACCCAAATCCTCTTGCACAATCCCTATCAAGCACCTCCCATCCCTATAATCCTCCAAGAAGGCTGAAACGGCAGTGGCCTCGCGACCTTTTGTAGATTGTATAAATTGGATTTCTGGCAATGGCCAGATTCTTCACTCAAGACATGTGTGTATGTGGCTAAAGTGCTCTCGACCAATCTCCGCTGGCTTTAGTACCAGTGACGCGGTTGGGAGAGTAGCGCAGGGTTCTCCTGGAGTTCCCTCGCCTGATTGTATATAGGTATGCATGTGTTTTTCTTTTCTTAGTTTTAATTTTCTTATTTTATTGTCTATTGTATATACCTTTGATTATTATTTTGTTCTATTTGTTTTATTTTTTTGTACATATAGTGTGAATGTCATCCTACCTCACTATAACCAATGTCCAACAGATTGTTATAATACTCAGTAAAGAAATTAAAAAAAAAAAAAAGTCATGGGGGGAGGGAGGGGGAGAGAGAGATGTCTGGTAAATTTCACCTTTTACTGGGACTTGTGAGAGTTTATTTTGATTTTGGTATCATTACCCAGAATACTTAACATTAAATGCTATCAGTAGAAAATACTTTTGATTTCTTTAAACATAGATAAGAATTCGTGAATTGACTGCTTAATTCTATAATTAGAATTGAATGTTTTAAAAGTATTTTGGTATAGTTAGAGATTTAATACTTCAATGTTTGCTGTTTCATTAACATGGAAGATGTAATGTAGATGCTTAGAGAACTTAATTAATAAGTGTAGATGAGAGGTGCCATTATTAGCACAAAGAAATTGGTCCTTGTAAAATGCCAGCAAGTGCTCCTCTACAAACGTAGATTTAGAAGAATAAGAGTATGTCAAGCTGATTTTCAATGGGTAGATACTTGAGGTTGTACAGAAATTCACCTATTTACAGACAGCCAGGAACATGGAGAAGATTGACCCAGTAGTCGAAAATAGGATTTCCAAAGCCAACCACATTTAGTAGCCTATCTGCATAGTGGGTTACAGAGATGATGGCAAGGAAACAAAAAGACACATGTTCAAGTTTTTTTACCTTCCAACCATCACTTATGGAAGTGAAAGTGGGTTTGAAATGATGATAAGTAATTTTTATCATAATTACGTGAATTCAGAAACAAGTATGCAGATAATGAAACTTTTTTGAAGCTACTATGTTTATGAACAATTATTTTCTTTAATTAAACGTGATCATCCATCGATACTGATGTTTAGTGTCTGATTGCTGTGGTCTATATCTGCAAATATAGATTGATTCATGCCAATTTTTTCATTAAATAATATTTTAAAATGTCTCAACTCATTGGATTTATTTTAAGTAGTATTTCTATTTCTGTATTTTTAGTTTTAGTTTGTAATGACATAAGTAATTTCTATTATAATTACATGAATTTAGAAACATAAGTATGCAAATAATGACATTTTTCTGAAGCTACTCTGTTTATGAACAATTATTTTCTTTAATTAAAGTGATCACCCATTGATACTGAATGATGTTTAGAGTCCGATTGCTGTGTGGTCTATATCTGCAAATATAGATTGATTCATGCCAAATTCAGAGAGGGCTTTCGGGCTGAAGCCTCTCCCCCCCGTAGATCCGCTCGTGATTCTTATTATTTACTATGAATTAAGTATATATTTAAACTTGTAGGTATATAAAAACAGGCATTAAACACCATTTCATGTAGGTAGTAAGTTTCTTTATTTTTTTCCAAAAGTAATTATCGTTATTTTTATGAAAAAAAAAAGCTTTCGGGCTGAAGCCCCCCCAAAATTAAATCCTGGATCCGCTAGTGATAAGAATAATAAAAAAAATCTCAATGTTATAGTAAAAAAAAATTATTCTTAGATTATATTGTAATAAGTATAGTCAAGTAATGCTTGTGCTGCCAATTGTTCAAGATAAAATGCAATATTTTAAAGATAGAATGCAAAAACATTTAAATCAACAGGTTTAATTATATAGATTGGTTAGGTAGGTTAGGTGGTTATATAGATTGGTGAAATTTCTATATATATATATGTATTTATATATTTATCAACATTTTTGAAAACTCAAAATAAAAAAAAAAATCTTAACACTTATTTTGTTCAGATAAAACAAAAGGTCAAAAGGTACCTAATTTAATTTATACAACAAAACAAAACTAAAACAATAGATTAAATTAATCTTTTAAGACAGCAAGATTAAATATTCAAGAATTATACATTAAATTAATATTTATTTTTAAAACATGAATTATGTCTACATATATATGTTATCTTCTTAACATTATCATTAATACAAATATATAAATGTCTATTGTTAAAATAAAGCCATGGCTAAGTTCAGGTAAATCTTGTCGGAATGATAAAAGGCGGGTTTATTATAATTTTTTTTTATGATGTATGGAAATGAAGATACACTTTAAGTTGATGTTCCACGCTCTTTATCATAAGTGTCTTTATTGGTGTACCCTGCAACATAGCCGGAGGTGTCTACATCATCTCTTCGTCCAGCTAGCCCTTTACCTTTCCCTGAAAATAACAGAATTAAAAGACATTAATATCCACATTTTAAGCATTTAAAAAAATTTGAAAGTTATTTACAATTTTTCATGGAATTTCTATACAAGCTTTAGCTGTCATATCAGTTAAAGTAAATTTAGTTTGAGTAGATTTAGTTGTTTTCCCCGACCATTTTCAATGTTAATTATTTTAGTTTGATAAGATGTTAGTACAGGACAGTCTCCATAATCCTAACCTCTGGTAATCCGAACAAAAAAGAAAAAAAAACCTTACAGGTTGACTTACGAGAGTTTCTCAGTACATATTACTGGATTTTCTTTGTGCGGTAGTGCCCAAATGATTGTGTTGTCTCTAAACTGAAACCATCAAAATTAGGCGGTCATTTAGAAGTTGAGGAATCTCTTTATATGTGATTTTTACAGCAGAGATCATGAGGGTGTCAAATTTCCAGAGAATTTTTCCATTTTCCAGGAAAAAGGATGACAAAGCAGATTTTAATGGCAGTAAAGGTGGGCTTGATAATTCCAAAAACAGGTATAGAATATGTTTTTAATATTAATTTTTGTTTTACAGGAAAATTTCTTTACACCTATTTTATTTCCCATCATAGATAAGTCGTAGAAACGCAATAAAGCCATTTGATACTTATATTTAGCTACTACAGTAGTATTTTTCAAAGGTACTCAATGTTCTTATATACAGTGTCTTCAAGGAATATATAAGTCCTTATACTTTTAAGATTTATTTAACATTCAACAACGTTTCGAGCTAAGCTTATTTTTAAGTTACGTTCAATTAACTATTCATTTTCGGAACACCAAATACAAAAACTACACTATTTCTTGTCTGATTTTATGTGTATTTACTCTAACACTCGTCCATTTTACAAACAAAAAATATGTGCATGCAATTATTTCCGAAAATATAAAAATTTATATAATAGATTTATGTTTTTGTTTTATTTAAACTGCATGCTCACCCCGAAACTTGATATTACATTCTTCCTCTATTATTTAACATTGAAAAAAATAAACATAAACAGAGCTATATCTCATTTACTTAATTCCTACAGGGACATACATCCCTCAAGAGCTCAAATGTGCAGTCAATGTTAAACAATAGAGGCAGGATATAATCCCGAGTTTTGGGGTGAGCATGCAGTTTAAATAAAACAAAAATATAAATACATAATATAAAAACTTATATTTTCTAAAATAATCACACATACATATTTTTTGTTTATAGAATGGACAAGAATTAGAGTAAATGCACATAAAATGAGACAAGGATTAGAATAGTTTTTTGTATTTGGTGTACCGTAAATGAATAATTAATGAAATTATAATATAGAAGTATGTTTTCATAGATAAAAATTTTTGATAAGCTCTCACTTTTAGACTAGATAATAAGTAATCATTGTTTTCAATTATGTTTGTTAGCTAAAAACTTCATTGAATACACGATATATAACCTGTTTTCTTCTAATGAATGGTATCTTTTATATATATAGATATTTAAATTTGAAGTTTTTACTAACTAAAGTCTGCAAAATAATTTTGACTTTAACATGTTAGGTGCAGCTACGGTTCCTGGGTTCCGATATTCAGCTCAATTTCGGCCACGATTGTTTTGAATTTTGACTATCTTACAAAGTCTCATTTTGAAAAATATTTGAATGGGAGTTCGATAGATGTAAAGATAGAGGCAAATGTAAATAATCATATATATGATACAAAGCTAATGGACATCAGGGATTGTAACCGCAGCTAACTTGTCAACTTAATTTCTCCCAAATTTCCAATTTTATTCAAACAGCTCATCTAATAACAATCCAATACGGCTATGACTTTTTTAATTCTTATAACTTAAATAGTTAACATAATGTAAAACATATGGATATGTAGTTATATATCTAGGATGGCTCCTAAAAATATTGAGTGGCTTAACGGACTACATAATTTTGAGAATCCCTGATTTAGATGTGCATGCAAATCTACTCTAATCAAAGTTAAATGGTTGAGATCCATTCTGTGGGTTCATCACAAAATAAATTTCAACCTGCCCAGACCGGATTTTAACTTGAGAATGTTAAAGCGGCAACAGTTTAACACGCTCCAACATCATACTACCTCTTTGGAATTCAATACTATCATTCAGCTTTTAAAAGCCACTCTCTGCTCAAAAATGTTATCTTGGCCTATGTTCTTTCTCCATAATCTCCTACTCCTCCATTCTCTTGATTCCAGTTTTTTTATCAGAAGATTTATGTTTCTTTATAGGATATTTACAAGAATAATGTGCAAAAACAAAAACACTGATAAAGCAAAAACAATAAAAAACAAAACAAAAAAGAAGATTCCTGACAAGCAGCATAAAAAAGTTCACCTGATTCATCAAATCTCTCTTTATGAGAACCAGTATATTTGCTAGGGTCGGTTAATCTTTCGACTGCTCCGGGTGTTTTTGAATTGTTCTGAAACAACATTGATGTATAAAGTTTACTATCTAACAGTATGCTAAGGTTAATAAAAAAAAAATCCATCTGAATTTGAAATGATTTAGTACTAGTAACCACTTGATTATGATTAATTTACTATATACATATTTTATTAATAAACAATAATAATGATTATTAAGTTAAACAGTTATAAGTTATTTATGAATTTTAATATGTTAATCTTCTCAAAAAAATGTTAATATTATTAAAAATTGAAAAATGAACCAAAATCGATAAACACATTAATTCAATATAATATTTTTTTTTCAACTTTTTTTCTATTAGGATCTGAACAGATTAGTTTCGTTTATGAATTTAACACATTTTCATGTGTGTTCAACAAGTGAAAACTTCACTTACTATATATGTGCACAACACTATCAATAATAATTAAGACAGAGGTTTAATCATCAAACTATCACTAAAACAATCATGGAAAAAGATAAATATTTTCTTTATTATAAAAAAAAAAAGAAAACCAGAATTTTAGTTTTAAATGAATTTTATCACAAACCACTGCTGAAGTAAATCCTGGATTTCCACAAGAGACCATCATAGATTTTATTTCTCCAACATCTATTCCTTTAGTTCTACCAAGATCCTCTAAAAAGGTTGTGTATTCTGATTCAGTTAGTTTTGGCAACCTTAAAAAGAATAATAAATTTTGAATAATTATAATAATGGTAAAATTGTTACAAATAAATTCATATTTTTGTGCTCCGTTTTTGAGTAATATAGCAGAACAAATCTAGTAAATTCATTTGAGTGGCTTCATATCAAAGGTGGACACTATAAATTTAAAAATTGAAAATTAAACTATTTTTGTTATTAGCTTTAATTTGAACCAGTTCTGATGATTTTTCAAAAAAGAATTTTCAAATTAAATTATGAAAAAAAAATATTCTAATATTTCTTGTTAATAACTTTTAAAATGTAATGAATATTTCTTCAAATAGCTGTTTTTTGGAATTATTTTTCCCTCATCCAGAGGGGGGCGTGACTCTGGCAGAAATCAGTAATGCTGGTCACGATGATAACTTTTGTTTTGTTTTTTTTTATTTCTTTTATCTTTTTAATATAAAAAATAATTACTGTTGAAGATAAAAAACAACAACTATAAAATGATGTTTAAGTGGTCTTCGAATGCCTATTAAAAATATATAGGAATTATATCTTTAGGTGTAACTACACTGTTACTGCAGATCAAATTTTTGTTATAAGACAAAATGATGGAAAAATGCACTTGTTATTCGTTGACTACAAGCAGGCATTTGATAGCATCAAGAGATCAGCTCTGTTATGAATGTTAATAAAAAGTGGAGTGCCACATAAACTAATTAATTTAATACGCATGAAGATGGAAAATGCATCATCCAAAGTTATTATTGGAAATAAATTTGGTCGATTGTTCGAGGTACAGTCTGAAGTGCGTCAAGGAGATGCCTTATCGGCAACACTATTCAACATAGATCTGCATGGCGCTGTGAAAGATGCAGCTAAAAAAAAGCACCATTGTTGATAAGACCTGGCAAATTTGTGCTTACGCTGATGACCTGGTGATAGCTGCACGAAGTGAAAAGGCGGTTAAAGAGGCATTTGAGATTGTGTACGAAAACGGCAACTAAGCAGGACTTGTGGTTAATGAAAACAAAACTAAATATCTGAAACTGTCCTCAGCAGCAAGTAGAAGATCCTGTAGTGAAATCACAAAGAATTATAAGTTCGAAAATGTACCCACATTCATGTATCTTGGTTCTGGCCTAAATAATGAAAATGTAATCAGCAGAGAAATAGACAACAGAATAATGGCTGGTAATAGAGCTTACTATGCAAACCTAAAACTTCTGAAGCCTCCATTGTTGTCAAAAGCCACAAAAATAAAGCTGTATAAACTGTTTATTAGACCAGTAGTAACCTATGGAGTGGAAACCTGGTGTTTATCGTAAGAGGATTGCCGTAAACTAACAGTATTCGAAAGGAAAATAATAATAAGGATTTACGGTGCTACAAGTGTTAATGGTGAGTGAAAAATCAAAAGTAACAATGAAATCGAGGCTATATTAGAGAATCAAAACATTACTAACTATATCAAGGCAAGTAGGCTTAGATGGACAGGACATGTAGTCAGAATGGAGAATGAACGGGTGTAGAGAAAAATATAGAGAGAGATGTGAAGAAGCTAGGAGTTCACAATTGGAAGAGAGTAGCACAGGACAGAGAGAGGTGGAGAAAAATAACTTAGGAGGCCAAGGGCCATGCTGGCCTGTAGCGCCGGGGAGTTAGTTAGGTAGGTATATCTTTAGGGATAACTTTTTAATATTTTTCTTGACATGTGTTCACATTTAATAGCTCAAAATTGTTATAATTTAAAAACTGTTCTTATTGTAATTGTTTATGTGTATATTTAGCTCAGATAACTCACAGACACAAATATGAACTAATGAAAAATAAAAGAATAATAATTTTTATTTTAGTCTATAGTACCCTAGGCCTTTAGAAGGGGCTTCATCCTGAAAGCCTGTGGAAACAAAAGACAAAACTATTGGAATAAATTCAATCACTAATTAACCTATGTTTTATTATTACTTAATAAAGATAATGACACCCCACAAAGAATGACTGTCGGTCATATAATTATTTTTTTTTTTAAAAAGAAAATTCTATTAATTTTTTTTCCCTAAAAAATACATACAGTTAGAAACTTGATTTTCTGTACTAATAATACAGAAGAGATTAAAAATTTAATCATTGATTATTATAAAATTAATGGAGGAACATGGATCCAAGATTGATTTTCCACACAGGTATTTAAGAAATATTGTAGTTAATAAAACAAGAAGGCATTGTTATAATATATTTAAGTAAGTAAAATGATAAGGATGGCAAAATTAAGCTAGCTCTTTCTGGTAAAAATCCTAGTTCCAGCCCTGGTCCATTTAGCTAATAATAAGAATGAAGATAAATGAACAACCAAATTAATATTAATTTGAAATACAGTATCTCTTTTAGGATTGATATTAATAAAATGATTTTGTTCCTATCTTGGTTGAAAAATTAATACTTCATAATAGAAAAATGTTTTATTTACTAGAGTAAAAATAATAAAAAAAAAAATTAAAAATACATTTAGGTATGAGTTATATTATATGCTCCATTTGTATAAATAACATATCAGATGGAAAGTTTAACTCACTTCAACTTCTTGAAGCATATCGCCGTGTCTGTGGACGTTATCTTCTTTCCATCGATGACTTTTGCCTGCCTCATCCACTTGTCGCTCTGGCTGAGTTTAATCGTCCGTCCGTCGGAGTCTCTGTCTCCGAATTTGGCGAATAGTTGGAATTGTTTCGAAAAACTCTTATTGTCCACCATCTGGAAATAAAGATATTTCAGGGTGAAAGAAACTTTTTTTAAACACGGTGTTCTACTTATATTGATAGTATTATAAATAAGTACAAGTTACTAAAAACTTTTATTTTGTTACAATATAGATGGAAAAAGAAACGAAGAGACGTTGGGATTGCAGACAGGAGCAGGGAACATAAAAGATGATTGATTTATTTCAGTATGGTATTTCGTAAAATTTTAATCATTACATTAAAAAAAATATAATTAAAATGAATTAGTTTTAGAACATACTGAGTTAGCTATTCCCAAAATCTAAGGGTATTCTAGGAAGGCACAAGCCAAGTAGTTTTTTTCAAATCATGATTAAGTGAAGTAAGGAAGCGTTTGTCAAACATCTATTTTAAAAAACCTTTTTAAAATAGATGACGTCAAAATGTTACCTTTACTGTTACCTCAAATACTAAAAGCCATCTATTTTTTTGTTGATAAATAATGATATAAAGACGAGCATATTTTACAAAAGTAAACAGTATAAAAAAAAAAAAAAAAAAAACAGAAAACAAATTCTTCGATAATATAATTAAACCAACTTCCTTTGGCTTTAAAATTGACAGGACTGTAAACGGATCATTGGATCAAGCGTAATAGGATCAGAGAGAAGCTATCCCAAAACCAAATGAAATTTGAATTCAATTTTGGGCTTATCCAATTTAAATTTAAGGTAATTGACTTTTTTTTTGTAAAAACAGTTCAAATACGTTCCATTCACAATATATATAATCATGATTACTACTTCATGATCAATAAAACTAACTTACCTGATGAAGAGATTGATTAAATAATTCGTACCCTTGCACTTAAAAGTTAAGTACAGGGATAGGCATTAGTTTCTTGGTTAATTATTATGTAAAACTAATAAAAACAATATTTATTACGAAAAATGCCTAGGTAAATAAATTTATATAAATATATTTACAGCCCTGTCATTATCAAAGCTCAAAGAAGTTGGTTTAAATATATTATCGAATTTTTTCTCAGTCTTTTTATACTGCTTTCTTTGGAAAATATGTATATCTTTGTAACATTAATTATCATGAAATTACATTTTGTTTTCAGTAATTTAATATTTATACGTTAAACGTTCGCATAAACTTTTAATATCTAATATTTAATACGATCTTTCGATAAATTTTAAAGATTCTTTCTTATAAAATAATGTGTCAGAGGAGAAAGATAGGATGTAGATTCTAAACTTGGTTTGACAGAAACGATTTTAAAAAGAATTTCTTATTAAAATAGATGCTTTAAACAAAAAACAATTAAGTAGATACCTAGTTTGTGCCTTCCAATAATTCAATACCATTAGATTTATGAAGTAGCAATATGTCTGTATGTATAAAGATAATCTTTCCGAAACAATTTTATTAATCTGAAATAGTTTTCAGAAAAACTAAGTATCACTTAAGATATTTTGAAATTTAACCATATGTACTTAGCTGAGGCAGGAAGGGTTGATTCATTCAAGGATATAATGTTTATCGAATAGCTCAGTCACCCATCATCTCTATTTTAACAGTAGAAGAACAGGCCCTAGTTCAACTGAACACTTTTAGAATTAGAGAGTCAAGTGGCTAAAGTTGTAAAATTATATATTTTTTAACATTTCCTATATATATTTAATATTTAGTTAGGAATCAAGTTGGAAAATATGCCAAATTAGGTCACATGCCTGCCTTATAGTTTTTATTTGTTTTTTGTTATTTTTGGCTTTAGGATTTTATACAAAATCCTAGCCTGCAACCTTATAGTTGATATCAATTTTTTCATAACTCAACAAATATTACTTATCACCATCATTCACTTGACCCTTCAAATATTATTCGTGTTTTAAATAAAGAAACCTGTTGATTGCTTGAATTATTTTCATGACAACGTAAATATTAAGATTAAGAGCATTTAGATGATTATTGATGATGAGTACAAAGTATTTTACTTAAATACTGACTTTTTTAGTACCAAAGAATTTAATTACTATTTCATTTGAAGTCAAACGATGAACTGAAGTAGTGATTGAATGGCCAATATCGATTCAATTTCAGTAAAATACTTGGTGCTATGTACTCAGAGTAGCATTTGCAAATCTCTGCATTCAGGTGATAGGAGATATTCTAAAAAAAAATGAAGCGATTTGGTAAAATCACTACATCTTTTTACTAACTCGAGGTAAATCTCAACTTATTTCATAATAAACCTCAACGAAATTAATGTAGACTTAAAGGTTATCAAATACAGAAGTTTTTATAAAAACTGAACTCAGCTTAGCTTATCCACTTAAACGCCCTCTTTAAATGGTTTTATCGATGACAAACTCTACTTTCATTCGATATAAATTTTATCTAGTTTACTGGAAATCAATTGTTGGTTACTTAAATTAAATATTTTCATGGTTATCGTTTCCTATCCATAAAAAAATCTGACATTTCAAAAAAAAAACTTTTTAATTTCCTACTTTATCGAGGAAATTCGGATCATTGTTATATACTTTTTTGTAGCTCTTCAGTTGTGCTATACACATGTAAATATTTCTCTCTACTTACGGACAGCCATTATAATAGTTCCGGGAAGTACTGTGATCGTGAAAAATTTTAAATTCAAATTTTTAACAGATAAAATATTGAGTTCAAATAATCAATTCTAGTAAAATGGTCTTTGTATGTGTAAGTAATCTGTCTAGTTCAAGTCTTATGAAAATGAAATTATGTCCATAAGTAAATTACATTTTAACGATGTTAGAGCAACCCCTCATGTAATTAATATCGCTAAAATCGATTTTCTACTGGATGTTACCCACTTTTCATTATTGATTTTACCCATTTTTAAAATTTTCTCTGAAACGGCTTCAACAATTTTGATTAAAGAAGAGAAGAATAGTTGGGGTGATCAGTCAAATAAGAAGGCAAAAATAAATGATAATATTTATTTTGACATTTGCCGACGTTTCGACCTGAAAATGATTTTCTCCGTTTTACACCTTTGGAGACAGCCCTGATGAAGGCCTGAACTTCAGGTCGAAACGTCGGCTCGGCAAATGTCAAAATAAATATTATCATTTATGTTTACCTTCTTATTTGACTGATCACTCCAACTATTCTTCTCTTCATTATTCACGACAGTCAACCATTTACCCACAATTTTGATTAAACACGTTAAAACTATGTACAATTAAATGATCATTAGTGTCACCCAGATCTTATTATACTCATTGAATATCTTGATAGGGGTTCTTCTAAAATACCTTTTAATAGATTCTTATTATTAAGAGTAATAAAAAACGTCTGGATATAAACAATGAAAAAATTTGATAATTTATTTAAAAAAAAAAAAAAAGAAATTTGATACAAACAAATTTTAAGAAATAAGAATCAAAATATGTATGTATAATTTAATCTTGGGAAAGCTGAAGATTTTAAAAAGAAAAAGATTTGATGTATTCTGTCCTAGAAGTTAATGGAGAGTGACAAAAAAAAAAAAAAAAAAAAAACAACAAAGAATAATAATTTTTAATTGTATAGATTACAATAATTATATAATGTAAAATTAATATTGATTAATATTCAATTATACATTTTATAATTGATAATATTGTATAAAATCACGGTTTTAGAGTCCCTCTAGTGCGGATAACAGCTCAACGGTATTTCTCTTTTAACTTCATTCAATAATCACCAAGGCACACTGTAGTGAATTTATTACAGCTTTATTAAAGTAAATATTAACTGATATAGCGAAAAAACGTTTTCGTGGAAGAGTCAGAAGAGATAAGGAAGTGAGGAGGACGGCTTGCTTATCGTCTGTCTAATCCTGTCAACAGCTGTTATTATTATTGTTTATATTTTACCTCCCAGTATTTTAAATTAATTAAAATATTTATTAAAATGGTTAACTGAAACATTTGTAATAAGACAGTGAACCGAGAAGACAGAGAGCTAAATTAACCTGTTATCAACGTCAGAAGTTAACGTACATTTTTTTTAAATATTTATATTTTTGATGTTTTTATTTTTTTTTATAAAACTCTAAAGCCCACAATTGTATTATTATGGATTATTATAAATTTACTAGTCCCAGATTAAATAAACCATATTTATATTTTGTTGATTGTAGCAAAAAATCATGAAGTACAAAAACTGAACTTTTAAGAAAGTTTTTCGTAAATTTCGATCTTATTTACCGATAAAAAAACACAGTAAAATGACACGAATCCTTTTATATAACAAGCGCAAAATTTGAAGATTTCACAGATAAAATTCATCAAAGCTCTTGATGATTTAAATTTATAAAATATCACTTAATGACTTTTTATAATAAACAGATAAATAGATAGATAGATATTTTATTTGTTTTAGGGGGCTCCCCATACAAATAGAGCCTAGCTTGGCTATTGTATAATAATATGGTTTTACAAATTTACATACATATCATTTAAATATAAATAAAATTTACAATATTTTACGTTTAGAATGGGTTTCAACAAAACATGAATAACAATAAAAATTAGAAACATAAAACGATTACTGCATAATAATAGTTATATGAACCTGTTACTATGGCAGAAACAATAAAAAATAAAAATATTTATAAACATACACAAATTATTACTTTTAAGATAAACTAAAAACAAACACTTAATAGAACACTTTTAATAATAAAGAGATATATCATAAAAAATATTTTTATTCAAATCTTGTGGTTCAATCATAAACAACTATATTTTGGAAACGTTTCGAGATTTAATTGTTCTATATATATGAAATCAAAAGGAGGTAGCAATAATAAAGGAACTAGGAATGCCCTGGAAGAAGGAACTAAAATAGAGAGCAAAAATATTCATATTCACATACAGTAAATGTATTGTTTATATTTTTAAATGCTAGCGTATATATTATATATTTTTTTTTCACAACTTCGACTCTGCCAGAGCAAGCTAGTTGCCTAATCAATTAACACTGCCATTAGGGCGACCT